ATAACAGTGTTTCTGCGCCCTGGGTTGCTCTACTGTTGGGAACGCATTCCTTGCTTGGTCCGGCTGCAGCCTTGTCATACCAAACAACGTGTAAAAATGTGACCCATATGTTTCGCCCCCTTTTTTTCAAGAGGGGACTGATTGAGCTGTATGGAAGCCACGGCCCACCCACAGAACACAAATAAGGAGAACCATATGTGGGGAGATGAATTAGGTAAACTGCACAACATTTTTATTAGATACAATTTCACTTTGCCTCGTCGGTGGACTGCAAGGTGACACTGTAAAAATAAACGTCGAGCCACAGAAAGAAAAAGACCCCTGGTTAACACGGGGTACGACGATGAAACATGGAGTTACTGAGCCAAAGGAACAGTTACTCTAATGTTTTGTAGTCGTATTAGATTGACCAAAATGTAATAGAAATAAGCATCCTGTCGATTATTTTTACAGACCATTAATCAGGCCATTAACCATATTTATATTGTAACATTTAACCAAGGCTCCTGGATATATTAAACCTCATTAAGACGCTGAACAAATGTTTAGTTTCACAGTTTATGCTCGTGTTTGTGTACATTTTTCATAGATTACCGACAGCATTTTAATTCTCTTCAAATGTTGATATTCCAAACACCTCCTTACAAAATTAACCAGGATGTGATCCTTTCACATGAATACGGAATTCAGGATTTTCAGACCTGAGAGGTTGATCTAAGAGACAGTAATTATCCACAGAAGTGTTCCCACACATAGACTATAGCTGGGCAGGTCACCCCCCCCTTAAAGCCTATATTTACAACCTCCTAAGTATATTGTGGATAAACTAGTGGGCAGTCTGCACTCACTCTCTGCCGCTTGCATATTTGTCTGGATTAGCGGCTTAATGCTCTGCAGATGATCAGAGTGAGAGACGTCTGATGTTACGTCTCCCCTTAAATACATCGATTGTGTTGTGACGTCAAGTCTTTAATTTTAACCTTGTTTTGTGCTGCTGGTTGCTGCCGATGTCCTTCTGCACTCAAAGTTTCTGCACGTCATGAACAAACCTGCACACTCGAGGCTCGCCTGTCGTGCTTAAAGAATTGCAATGAAACTTTTTAAAACAGGAGGAGTTGTGTTGTCTGGGCAACAGGGCTTAAAGAGTGCAGAAACACAAGAAGTCTTCAAGTCTGCATGTTTACAAAACTACTCACATAAATCATCGATCACTGAAGTGCCTGAGAAACACTAAATGAGAATTTAAGAAGACAGAAAGGAGACAAGACGCGATCATAAATTTGGACGGCTACAAAAAGGAATAAATTGGTGAAATAAAGTTCAGAAGGAAGGAAAATAAATGTTGTGTGCCAAAAGGAATTCTGGGGGAGACCCCGAGACCTCCTTAACCTCATGTTGCCAAATATTTAATGACGTATTTAACTTTTTTATTGCATCCATCAACAGCTTCATAAACTCAATTTGTAGGCAAATATTTATATCCATCTGTGTTTTTATCATGCAGAAAAGTATGGGACAGTATTCTTTGCGTTCTCAGGACCTCTTCATGCTCTCTGTCCCTAACTCTGGGAATCTGTTGCAGAATGACTTAAAACTCAAGGAGCTGGTGTCCTTAAATAGTTTTTAAATCAAGAATAAAAGACCTGGAAGCAGATTCTATAGGATGTCGATGCTTTTCAGCTCGCTGGCTTGAACTACTGACTCCCAGATTTGACTCGTAGATGGTTCTCTCTTTTAGTTAAAGAGCATTGCAAAGTGGATGACTGAGGCATCACTCCTCTAAAAGTCTGAGGGCTTAAAAAACAGACGACTAAAAGTGGCAGCTTCTCTGATAAGAATCTGTGCATCTCTGGATCGACTTCCCTCACACACACATCGCTTTCTGTGACCTGATAAGATCGGTGGCTTGATGTGTCACATTGTTCTCATATTCTCTGTTTTAGCCAGTGATTTGGAGGCTTTGACTGACCTGCGAAAAGCTTCGGGATGATCTCTCTTACTAAATATATCACATTTTACCGAACAAGAGAACATCATCTTAACGGCTGCTTAAAAGATATCCCTCTGTTTTCTCGATCAGGTTAAAGGAAGAAACATGTTTGTGTAAGAGAAGAAGTTAATATCAGCACCTGAAGACACATCCTGATGTTATTTAACTGTGTTGATGTAAAGCCAGGAGTATGTTGTGACAAACATAATACACTTGAGGTCTTTATGCAGGAAGAATCCTTCATCAAAAGTAAGCACAGTGGGTTGTGTCCTTTTTCCAGCCTGTTTCAGAAGTGGCCACTGACGGTGCCGATCTGATGAATGTCAAGGCACCTCTGACTCACTGCAGCCTGTTCTTTGACCTCAGGGGTGTCAGAGGAGCAGGGGCCGAGATATGAATCTGCCCCGAGCATGGACCATTGTTAGCCTTTCCTTTCATGTGGTTAAGAGGTTTTCTGTCCAGAGGGCCGTGTAGGTTTAGCAAACTTAAATAGAAGCTCATTCATAGCAGCTACAAAAAAAAAAAAAGGAAAGAAATGTCAGAAGAATTGGAAAGAATCCTCGATATTTAACAGTAGATGGGATTGTGAAGTGCGAGGAGTAATCATGCCAGGCAACAGGCCGCAGGAATGCAAATCAACCCTCGAGCCAAGAGTTAAGTTAGCAGGTGGCCTCTTCTATTCACCGAATGTCAACACTCCTTTTTTAGAAGGAGCCCACATAACATCTGGGCAGGCCAGCCACTGCTTTTAATTAAGTGAAATACAGTCACTCAATGTTCAGCCATGTCAGGGGAAAAAAATGTTATAAAAAGTGGGAGTGTGGCGGGGGGAGAGAAGTGCAACAGTACATATCCTGTGTTTAGTGAAGGTCAACACAGTTGTGTAAATAAATATTAATCCTTAACCTAATCCCTAGATTTCCCAAAACCATAGAAAATACCTGGTAAACCAGAGCACTTCTCAGGAAAAATAGTGCTCTTTCTGGAAACCCTGTTTATCCTGAGTGGAGGAAACGCAAACGACACTCACTCAGTTTAGTTTATGGTTCTCCACTTTGTTTCCAGTGTTGAGTCTTTAGCTCTCAGCAGATGGCAGAATGTAAGCACGCAGAGATGTGCCATACATATCACACACATCATGAAATGGATGCTACTTTTCCCCCATGGGGCGGCTGTGGCTCAGTAGAGTATAGTCGGTCTATAATTCTACAATCCTCCAATTCACTTAGCAGACGCTTTTATCCAAAGCGACGTACATCAGAGAGTAAGTACAACACAAGCAAAGATCTAGAAAAGAGGAAACAATGTGAGTAAGAGCAAACGATCAGCTTTGAGTCTGATTGGACACACAGGTGCTGACAGGAAGTGACCAGAGGCAAAGCACAACATTGACGGCAGTTCAGATGAGAGCTCTAATCAGCATAGAAACCATCTTATAAGTCGCCGTTATCAAACAAAACCATCATCATCTAAGCCTGAAGGTTGGGGGTTCGATCCCCAGCTTCTGCAGCAACATGTACGATGTGTCCTTGGGCAAGACACTTAACCCAGAATTGCCCCCGATGCTTCATCGGCCGCGTATGCATATGTGTCAATGGGAGTAGTACCGTAAAATCCTGTGTAATAAGACGCACTTTTAATACCTATTTTTTCATCTTAAAAGTTCCTTGCGTCAGTTTAAACATTTTTTTCTCTCTAAGAGACCTTCAAAACAGGGTGCGTCATACATACCGGTGCGACTTATATTCTGGATTTTACAGTAACTTCTGATGGTCACTTTACATAGAAACCACCGCCATCAGTGTGTGAATGTGTAGGTGTGACATGCGGTGTAAAAGCACTTTGAGTAGTCAGAAGATTAGAAAAGCACTATACAAGCTCAAGTCCATTTACCATAATCAAGAAGGGGTCAGTTAAAAATGTTACACCTCTTTCTCCTGAATGTTCCCCTCCTGTCTGTGGAGGTCAACTACAACTAGCGTTACCCCTCCCCAAGAGCATGTCAACAGACTCCCTGAGTGGACCCCCTAGTTTAAATCATTCTTGTCAAACATTTATAAATCCGAGCAGTAGTCCTCCCAACAGTTTGTAAAACATCCGCAGAGCTACAAACAGAAATATAAGAGGGCAACTTGAGTTGGAAAAAGACTTGAGGACTTGCAGCTGCATGATGGGGGGGGGGAAGCTACAAAACTTCAGACATTTTTCATCCTTTTGTATTGTAATAAATGGAGCCATGAAGGCTGTGGGGTCAAGTAAAAGCCAAGCGAAAGAGTTTTTTTCAAGTGGTACATTTATTAAAATACACAACATCTTACAAGATATACTTTCCCCAAAAGAACTCAAATTAGTGTGAAGTAAAGAAACATTTGCAGCTCTGGCAGAGTCCACAGAGAAGTGAGAAAACAGTGTTTATGGAAGAGCTTCATTCCAGACTGACATAATCCTCTTCTCAAAAAAGAAAGAAAGAAGCTGTGCTTGGAAAAGGTGAAACAGTATCAGCGCTGAAAGATGGTGACAGCTTGAAAATAGCTTTGGGCAGTTTGGTTTAGATACTGAGAACACTTGCTATATTCTTTTACAGGAGTCTTAATTGGATTTCTAACAGCTCTTTTAAAGCTGTGATGTTAATGATGATAACAATATAAATAAAGTTTATTGCTGTACAATGAAAACAGTCGTGTATAATTATTGGTCTGCTAAGAAGAATTACAGTCGGCGTTAAAGAAAAACACATTATAACACACTGACGACGGCTGCAGAGTTAAGAGAGCATTTGTCACACAAGTGTGTCGTAAAAAATTGGAAAAGCGAGCAGCCGGGGGGGAAGCGGTCTTCTGTATTGTGACTCCAGTGAATAGTGAATTCGTATAATTTATCATATATAGACCTAATGAAGAGAGAGTATATGCCAATGGACACAAAAGATAATAAGTGATGCAAAGCAAATCAAAAAAATGTTCCCCTAATCATTTAAATATAACAATATTCAGTGCTATTTTTTTTTTTTAAAAGAAGAAGAAAATAAATTAGGTAGTAAAACTTTATATACATAATACTGTACATCACAGCTGCAGCACATGTGTTCTCCAGCGATGTCCTCACCAGGTAGCATAAATTAAAGTCTGGTCCGGCTGCTAATGGCAACCACAGGACCGAACCACCATGTTTCTGTATTTCTTGAGGATGACGTTGGAGCTGTCATCGAAGTAAAGCACCGATATTGCATTGAGCTTGGTCGGGGCACAGCACGGCTTTGGCACGTTGTCAGGAAACATTAAATGGACCTATAAATGAGAGCGAGCAGGTTTGAAAGAGGCGTAACAGCAGCGCAGCTTCAAGTGAAATATAACTGCTAAGAACATTATGGCGGCTTATAACTTGCTTTTTTATTGCCACACACATGTGTGCAATGCACTCCGCAGAATACTCACCAGGGTTTGCACAATCGCATGATTTGTTGCGTTCATGTGTGCGTTGAGTGGAAAAGAGCATTCGCCGTCGCAGTAAAAAGCAGCATAGCCCTCAGGTGCAATGATCCAATCCTGAAGAGAAAAGAATGAGCTTTCTTTATTCACGACGCATGGTAAATTCTCCGAGTGTCAAGTTGAAGCTCAATTAAAACATTCACTGTACAGATCCCACGGGTTAGTCGTGTTTTTGAATGTTTTGTGGGATATAAAGTGAGTCTCACCTGCCAGCCCAAGTCTCGGAAACTGACGTAGAGTTCGTGCTTCTTGCAGGCTTGTTTCTGTTCACTGATGTTGTAATCTGAAAAATATTAAAGGCTCTTTTTTTCACAACAGAAAGTAACATTTGTAAAATTTGTTTACAGCTGTGATAAAAAAAAAACTCTGAAGGTTCTGAACAAATGAACCAGAAACACAAATAAGTAAGGTCACTGTGAGTACACGAGAGCATTGTATGACCTAGCTAGACTCAATAATATTGTGAAATTTTGTAAGGTATTTTCTAATCATCAATAACCTTATTCATGTTGAGTGTCAAAATGTATTCCTCCTGCTTTTGGAAACACATTGGGAACAAATATCTCTTTGAGTTTTTAATCACTTTGGATTAGAGCCCGACCGATAAATCAGCTAGCCGATAATATCGGCCGATATTAGCATATCCAGTGACTATCGGTATCGGCTAATATGCACCGATATTACTAGATGTATTCACCAGTCAAATAGCAATTCATTTGAGTTTCATTGTGTAAAACTAGCAGTTTGTCTGATCAACAAGCATCTGAACGAGCATCATCACTCTGCAGAGTGTCAAACGGTGACGCATGTACATATGTAGTCATTAGTCATGTATTTTTGTTAAAAGCAGTTGATGTTTCATAACATTTGATTTTAGAGGAACAGACAGTTTTTTCCCCCGTGTCATTGTGGAAGAGCAAAAACAGAAATGTCAAAGACAAACTGATCAAGAGAGTTATAGTCCAACAGCCTTATACTTGGCCATTAACACGAGTGATGAAATATTCTGGAGGGAACATTAAAGAGCACTGCCACGATCCAGAAGCTCTCCCACCACCACCTTTAGTTCTTCTGTTCACAGGATTATTTTCAAACTCTGGAGAAACAATCAGACGGGAAGGTGAGGGAAAGAGACTCTCCAGAGTGTCATGTTTGTTAAAATCCCAAGATATAAAAAGTAAAAGACGACAACGTGATTTACATAAAGTAACTCACCATTAATATGGCTAAGAATGTCAGCTATGTTCTGAGATCGGCACCAGAAGTGAGGAAGGAAAGGCTTTATCCCCTGAAGTGATTTTAGGACTCCCCCCTCCCCCCCCATTTCTTATTCCTTGTTTAAAAGCCCAAAATGTAAAAACTACTTTGACAGTAAAAAATTACCTGAAGATTCAGATCTTTGACCAGATGAAAAAGAGAGGCCTTTATATGTGATGTATGTATACTTGGCTGTCATTAAGGTCACTCACTGTGGGGATTTATAGCTGCAGGAGAATGAAACTGGTGAGCCTGACAGATGGATTCACAGCGTGATAGAATAGATAGCAGGGTAAAAAGATGTGTTTAAAATGAAGGGATCCGATGTGCGTAGGCAGGATTGAATCAATCATAAAAACAAACGACTATACCTCCAGTTTTGGGTGCCCTCGACGATTCTTGTTGATTGGTTGATTTATTGCGATTGTGGTTCTTTTTCTTCCCACCAGCGGCTCTGACGGAGCGAAGCAACACCCCGCTGGCCTTGAAGAAAGCTACCAGGAACGGCTGCTTGGACTGAGGCCCGTTCCTCCCAATGATTCCAGCAGATTTCATGTTGATACTTCGTCCTTTAAAAATAACAGAAAGTAAATAAAAACTCAGGAAAAATGAGATATATTATAATTTTATAGCTGCTTTCAAGGTGATCGGGACGTTTAGGAAACCTTTATAAAATCCAGGGCCAACCATTCATTCTTTTTGTAAATCACGATTTTAGAGGTAGTAGAAAAAAAGACAATAATATACAAGGCAAGTTTTTCTACAGTCAATGAAAGCATCAGTATTTATCGAAACGCAGACATTTGAGAAAGATGAACTTCCTGTGCTTTTCTAGGATCCGACAGACTGAAATAAATCCAAGGAGTGTTCAAACGAGTTAAAAACGTGAAATGTGTAGAAAAGAAACTGAGCCCCCCCACTCACCGTCTGCAGTCTCCACGCAGAGCTGCAGGCCCAGGTTCTGCTGCGGGTTCATCACCCAGTGGTTACTGGTGGCGGTGATGTCGAACACCAGCCAGCCCCCGTCGGAGGACTGGACTCTTTTGGAGTCGAGCAGGAACGTCTCTGCGTCTCTGGAGGTAGGACAAAAACAAACAGAAAACATCTGCAGCAAATAAACAGCAGTTTGAATGACACACACTCCCAACAGCCAGTGCACATACAACATGTTCTCTGATTGTTTCAAAAGTTTTGTAATCCAGGGATAACGATTTGAATGTTGTTGCCTCTTTAGGTATGTTTGGCTTAAGGCTTATAATTCATGCTTTTTTTTTTTTAGAGCAGTGACCTTTACTGCTTCATTAATCAGTTTCTATAAGCTTTAGAACAAATAGAAACTGCCGGGGGAATTGTAATTGTTGCACAGCTTTAATGCAACACAAAAAAAAGAGAAACCATGTGCTTGTTCTTAAGAGGTCTTAACCAGTTGAAGGGGAGCAGACAAACGAGGCATCACTGACCGATCACAAATGAATGCTTCAGCCTAAACTCTTTAACACGAGTCCAAATCTGAGAGAAACATTCCTTCTCTGAAAAGCCCCCCATCACTGAAAACTGCTGACATGATAAAAGCAATCAATTCTTTTCTGTGAACTGGAGATAAAAAGCAACACAATATTGTTGAAGCCGTGGCTCTTAATGAACTGCAGAGTTGTTTAAAAAACATTGGCCAAAGCTTTTAGTTATTTGATTGTTCAGGAGTTTTGAATCATGAATATCGGCCTGTGTGTATTTTTATCATGAGTCTGACATAAGGCATCAATCAACCTTGAGTTGAAAAAAAATCCCCGCTCCGCAATTTGCATTGGACTTCTTTCAAGTGGCAGATCGGATAAGGCAGTGCCTGTTCAGTTTTTTTGTGGTTACATGGCGCTGGACTGGAGAGCCGAGATTTTCCATGTGGCCCCGATAATTCAGACGATATTCAAGTGTTTATTACACGTGTAATAAATCTCCACCTCGCTGTGGAATTCAATCCTGAGGTCGGTTGAGTGACTTTCTGCTGAACTTCCTTTTTTGAAAATTTGCAGCATTACGCTAATATCCTGTGATAACTTTAAGTCTGTTCTGGTAAAATGTGAACGATTCCTCGAGCCATATCCGAGAGGAAAATGTCATTCTGCTCCTACAGTGATGTTTGGATACATCTGTTCCACAGAGAGTGTTAACAGGAGGGGATAGAGGTAGAAAAGATGGTCTACCATTCAGTTCACATGCCACTCATCGTCCCCATTAGGGTAAACTTTACTACAACACTAGTAAGAATCACATTATATCGATACCTGTTTCAATACCACAGCACAACAAAAAGAAGTCTTAGGAACCCAGTATTGGGTAGTTTCCTGTTTTTGATTTTCCAAATTCTGCATTCAAACTCCTCCACATATTTAGTACGTGTCTCCTCCTGTATTGGCTTTCTGTTAGTAAGACACATAAACATAGCTTTTGCATCAACATGAGACTCCACAAGGACTTGAGAAAGTTAAAAAAAAAACACAGATTGTTTCATTTTAAATTAATGAATTATCAACATTTTGACAACCCTAATTTCTGATACAAATTCATGTTCAGTAGCTAAGGTCAGCATGTACCAAGGTGTTGATAATATTGTCTTCTGACTTTAAAGGCCCCCTACAGTGTTTTTGACCCCATAGTACTGGAGCAATGTACAGCACCATGTTTATAAGAGTCCCTTTGTTTATTTAGTTTCATTCATTCTCAAGATGGCAATGTTCCTTTTCAGGTTAAAACTTGGGGGGTTCCATATTCTACCTCCAGGAATTTAAAGGCTATAATTGAAGTTTTTCCTCTTTTTCCAGCAGGCGGAGCTCTTTTAATTTGATTTTAGTTTGACCCTTTGCGTTCCCTTTTGACTTATAAGTACTGATAACTGAGCTGGTGTTTGCGATAAAAATTGTGGAGACTAGCCAAACCCTTACATTCAGAATGTATTTGAACACTTTGTCAATCATTAAAAATTAGTTTGAACGTGATTTTTGGACACACTGACCGGTATCAGCAAGGGCGTTGTCAGTTATTGTAAAAAAGTAAAGTGCCAGAAATGGCAGTGAAGAAGAAAAACTGCCAACAAGCAAGTGTTTATATCTCCACCTAAGGTTTCTGATTCTAATATAATATTGCTTCATTATGTTAAAAAAGATAGATAATTGACAATCAAGGATACAATCAATATGTTTTTGACACTTAAACATCTTTCTTTGTGTAAATAAAACCATTAACTTTCACATCTCATGTCAGATCTCACTCTTACTATTCTTACTACTCAGTAATAGTTCCAATTTAGCAGACATGGATAAAGGAAAGGCATCAAATGTCCCAGGCTAAACTGCAACCAAAATGAGGATTCTGCTTTAACTTCTTGCCTTGAAAAAATAAAAAATAAACTTGCTTGCTTGAAATGCCCCACGAAATGATTTTAGTGTTCTAGAAAATCCACAAGTTAACCATTACTTTTGATGATCAAGTGGATTTTGTATAATAAGTCAGACTTGAAAGAATAAGTTAGATTTTTCAGTAAAATACTAAATTCTTTATAGCGTTTGAATTACTGTGAAAACTGTGATTTACTGAGAAACGTATATATCCCAGTGTTGTTTCTAAGGCGTCTCACCTTGGGACAGATTAGTCCTCTTCCTGAACACTAATGAAAACATGCTATTCCCCATGAAAACGTGTGTGAAAACTTCCAACGGAGCAGCCTTCCCCTTTAAGATGGCAGAGTCCATTGACTCGGACCTTTTCAAAGCCCAGGAGGGCCATATCTCCCCTTCAATCACCCACACACATTTTTGGCAAGCGAATGTGGGCCCACTTTTAAGTACACCCTCGTGTATTCAGCTATGTCATGGTTTAAACTTCCGGAATATTGTTAAGACAGGCAGGTGGTGGGCATAACAGTGACCGCAGGAGCACCAAAGGGGAACCCCCCTCCCTCCCCTTCCCCCCCCCTCCCTCCCTCCCTCATATGGGCCCTCATGGTCTCATCTGGGACACGGCCAGCTTGGCAGGCAACACAAGACGAGTGATAACTGATGGACCATCCAAGCTCCGTAAGTGGCCGACTCGCTAATGGAGTTCTCTTTATCCGAGAGACTATATTTGTAAGGCAGACGCGGTGCGAATGAAGGAGAGCAGAGTGCGAGATATAGAAAGGCGTTCTGTGGGAGTGGAAAGTTTCAAACCGTGCGAGACAATGGCTGTTGGGACTGTTTAGCTGTGAGCTGAGATAACTGTTAGGAACACATTTGTTCAATTTGATCTGTGATACAATGAGGGAGGGTAACAGCTATTTGGGTTTCCTTTTCACTTATTTGCATCTGCACACAGGACGATGTTTCCTTTATGCTGTAAGAATAAGCTGGATGTTGGCCCTCCACCCCGGTTAATGTTTCTTTTTTATTATTATTTTTGATGAGTTTGAGACTCTCAAGAGGCCAAACTCATTTCTGTCAAATATCAAAAACCAGTTTCTTTTAAAACTCTATAAAGTGTTTCATAGTTTGATACGTGTTAAATACAATGTACAGTACCAAGCATTTTTCTCTCCACATCCCCCCCCCCTTATTTGTATCAAAGAAAGCTGAGCCCAAAGTTTTTTTTACAGTTTTATCTACAGATCTGAAACTATCCACTTAATGTGTTATCAGAATTTCAGTAAATATGCACAAATCTCATTTTGACAGCGTCAGAGCAGACCCTGTAAAGCCTCACACATAAAAATATAACATCTACAGAATGAGATCTTTTACTTTAATAAAGCGACAACATCACAATTAAAAAACACACTGACTGCACTCTTAAGAATTGTTGCAAACATGAGCTGCAGCTATTTCTTTAAATATGAAGTATTGACATTTTTAATGAACTACAATGAGGGTTTATGAAGCTTCCTGTTAACGTGAAGCTGATGGGTAGAAAACTCATTTTGTTCCTTCACATTTGGTGAATCATCTGTAACCATTTATCATTCTTGCAGGTTGATTCTCATGTATTAGATGTTAACTTGTGAAGTACCTGTCACATAAATGTTGTGTAGTAAAAATACAGAGTTTGCATCTGAAGTATAGAAAGCAGAAAATGGAAATACTTGAGGTGCATATGCCTCAATATTTTATCTACAAGAACTCTATTAGAATCCACTGCTGCCTTGTGTGTGTGTGTGTGTGTGTGTGTGTGTGTGTGTGTTTACTTGATTAGGTACTTACTTGTTCTGATACTCCTTGATGACTTGATGAATGGAAACCTTCAGAGTGACGTTGTCGTAGCGTGCATGGCTGCGGTCCTTATAGATCCGAAACTCTGCAGCCGTCACCGCCTCGCCTTCGGGGATCTGAGTCAGATCGAAGCGGAACTCCTTGTAGTGTCTCCGTTGGTGAGAGAAATCTTTGTCTTTCTCGACTGGGAGAGAAAATGTTTTATGATGAATTTCATTTTTACTGGCAGGAGCATAAAAAAAAAATAAATGAAAAAAAAACCATGCACTGATCCAAAAAACATGACTTCAACTGGTGATGCGTGTTGCTCAAAGGGAGGAAATATGGCGGCTTTAGGGTGACAGCAAAAAAAAAAAAAGTTATTTATCACATCTTCTTTTACATTCCTGGTCCAATCCAAACATTTTCACTATCAACAAAAGCACTTTCCAGTTCATTAAATCAGTCAACTGAATACAGGTAGCCGTTCGCAGACAGGCCCTCTACTGTGTTCCTTACTGCATTCTCTGGCCATGATGAATGGGCTGTCAGTTAAGAAAAACAGGCTGATTTCAATTAAAGACACTTTGGTCTGCTCCTCAAGTGAGCGTTAAGACCAGACAGGATCCTCCGACGTCATATGAACGACTTACTCTGACCTCGTTTCTGACCTCACGCTGACCTCCTGTAGCTTCAATGCCCTACAAGTGTGTTATAACTTTAAACTAAGTAACTTTTAAAATACTAAGTGACTTTAGAGATCTTTTCAGGACATTCATTGGAGAAAATGTTTGATATGTATTCAGCTGCAGGGAGGGGAATAAGATATGTATCACTTGATTTTTTTTTATGGAGAAGCCTGCTTTCTATTTTTGTAGGGAAGATGAGGCATCAAAGCACCTTATCAATATTATGAAAATAAACAAGGATAAAGTCACTACCACAGTGTCACTCCCCTGCAGGGCAGCAGAGAAGAGGCATGCGGCTGAGGTCAGGGGGCACCGTCTGACATCCTTGGGCGATATCATGCAGTGCGTTTCCCTGATATTTTATCAAGTGAGAGCGCCTGCCGCTACTTAACACACACAAGTCAGAGGTCAGGTCTGACTTTTACCCACTGAGCGTGTTCCATTTTGTTAGCCACGGGCAGTAATGCGAAGCAGAAGTGCCACCGAGAGCATAAAGAATTTAACTTTCTAATCTCTACAGATAAGATACTCACTTGATCGTCTGCAAGAGGTGTATGTACTCTGTGCATTGGACAGAATCAGTATTCTGTTTGTTGAATTGAAGACTGCTCTCTCTCTGCTTCTCTTCGCATCATGTATATTTATGAAGGTTAAAAAGCTCCGACGGTTACAGTAAGCGTATTAAACTGCATGAAACGCGGCTCAGACATTAGTAAAACAGTTGAGGTCAGCAGCTATATGTGGTTGTACTGTAATAAAGACAGAGCCCCATTGAACACTTCACTGACAGTCCCCAGAACGAGAGCGGAGCTTTCAAGGCTGACAGTGTACATGCCCTGCTGTAGTGGTAAGTGGAAACAGATGGGCTCAGGCCAAGGTGAGGGATTAGACTCCCAAGCAACACTACACAAAACATTTTACATGTTTTGATTTGTATTAAGAAAATTAAATCAACACTGCAACACAATAAAGTATGTGCAGTGGCTTTTTTTTTTGTTTTCTCCCCTTAAGTGTCCTTTTTTTGAGTGATTTTTTAATGGCATGCTTCCTTATATTTTATCTCTCATTAAAGAATAATGACAGACTCCAAATTGTGCAAATATGAAAGACAGAGCTGCTTCGTTTTTCTCAGTGACAGTGCCTCAATACAAACAGACATAAGTCAATATCACTCCCCTTTTTAACAACAGGAAATCATTTAGACCAATTTTCTCAAGGTCAGACAGTCATCTTGATAAGGTTTCTCTGAACTGCGGGGGTTAACGGGTCCCGGCTACCGAACAAACACAATCACTCTCCAGATCAGCTTCTCCTTTTAATAGAAAGCAGACAAATTGTGAAAGGTCAAAATGTTTTGGGTCTAATTCTGTTAAACACGAAATATTTCACACAAGGCGGGAAAAAAAAAGCAACTGAGCACATTAGAGGGCCAGAGGAAGACTGATGTCTGAAAAATGTAGTCACTCACATGGAGACAGCATAGCAGGGGTCACTTAAAACTAAATCTACATGTGTGAAATGAATTAAGGCAAGATGAATAAACTGCTTGTGCTGAAAGTAACACAACATACATTAAAGGGGATTGCAATATGTGCAATGCTCAAAAAACGTGGAAGGCTTTCAAGCTGCTGGATTTTAAATGATCTGTCTGTAGTTTGGACCCATTGCAAATTTTACATGTTCGTTTTATTAAGCTTTGCATCAAGTACGCAGACTTAGGATACTCCAGGAAAATGTCAAATAATACCTCAAATTTCCTAAACTGTGGAAGGAATGAAGATGAGTTGGATAGGGATTATTTTTTACTTTATGGTATTTCTTTATAAATGTGCTGCAGCACTGAAGCTAAATAAAATGAAGACTTTGTTGCTTGCGTTCGAATATATATATAATATTCTGAGTAAACAGGTGATAAAATACATTTTAATGCACTTTAATGCAACTTACCTAAATTGACAAAACTCATCACCATGTCGGCATCATTGAGAAAGTTGTTCTCGTGCGCTGAGGTGAGCGCGGGGCTGTGGCCTAACAGAGGGGCCGCGCGATAAGGCAGTGGCACGCGGGAGTACCCGGCATGCTGCGGGCTGTAGTAACCCTTCCTGGAGTGCCCCTGAGCCTTGGCACTGAAGCTCTTCCCCGGGCCGACCTCCTCCTCCTCCACGGCCATGGCGTTGTACAGGTCGAGCATGAAGAGCGGCGCCGAGGACGCCTGCTTCCCGGGACTGAAGGGCCTCGGCCGGTGAGGCAAGCCCAGGATGGAGAGGATCTCTCTCTGGATCTCCCTGCGTTCGTGATTGCGCAATCTCCTGTAAATAAAGCTCGAGTGCACATGGTTGTCACTTAACCCGCAATGAGTGCAGGACAGAAAACTCAAGCAGCTCCACGCGAGTCCGAATACAGCACGGTGCAAAGGTGAAAGCGCTGTCATCTTGACAAAATTTTGAGTTTTGAAGATGACCTACATCGCACTCTTTTGAGCAAAAAGTTATATCTCTGCTAATGCAGAATCATAGATTTTCCATTTTTGGGAAGATGCACCACAACTTTCCCCGGTGTTCAGCCCTTTCTACAAATTAGGTATCAACAGTCGCTGCTCCTCTCCGGTTTTTATTCCTCCAGGGTCCATCCAGAAGTCTCTGCTGTGCCACACCAAGTATTTATGGAGCTGTGACCCTGTCCCTCACCTTACTCCTCTGTGATGCGAAAAAAAAAACGGAGGTACGCCCATTAAGTCGAGGGATAACCCCGGAGTTTCCAGTGGATGAAATGTGTTCAACCGTGTCAGAAAATGAGCAGACAAGAGTTGCACTCCACTCATGCCCCGGCTCGCATTTTCCTTCTTTTTTTTTGTTCACCTCCTGAGAGCGTTTTGGGGATAGTTGCCCTCTGAGTCCATCCCACACTCAACTCTTGTTTTTGCATCCACCTCTAGCGGCCGCAGTAAAACTTCCAGCCCCGCTCCCATGATGAATGTGGCGGCTCAGGAGTGTAAAAGGAGACACTTGAAATCTGAGAGGCCGTCTTAACGAGTGAAAGAATAATGACAGAGCCTTTTAATCACCTCAAGTTATTGAAGTCTGCGTGTTTATGGGAGAGGGCTGCAGCTGAATTCAGCAACAAAAAGGAGCCTGTTGTTTTTTTTTTTTCACAATGAGTCATAATAATGAGATAAGTAAAACAATATTTTATCAATCAGTCTATCAACTTAAAATAACTCCACTTTTAATGTGCTGCACTAAAAATACAGTCGAACCATAATTCCCACATAGAAACAGATCAGGCAGAGATAAAAGTACCACAAAGGCTGATAAAGATAAACTGCAAATTCAGTTTTTAAAACCTTAGACCAACTGCAGATGTTTATACTCTAAAGTGATTTTGATCTCTATAACTATAGGACAATGCAGACTGTAATTTTAAATGAAGGCTAACAGCCTTAATACAAAAAGCTCCGCTCTCATAGGAGTATTAAGTAAAGAACATGTTGAAGTAAGTATGGTGGGATAATTAAAAACATAAACAGTCAGATGTTCCCATGTGAGAGAAAAAGGAAACGTCCCTCATAGGTGAAGTTATTCCTGCAAATGATGAGATGTTACCACACAGCGCCATCTGGTGCTCAAAGATGTTGTTTCTGAAGTTTGATAGATAAAACACATCCTACACAGGCTTGAGCTGTGAATCCTCAACTCCAGCTTCATATTTTCCTACATTGTAATTATCAAATGATCCGTTTAGATAATTCTGTAAAAAGTTAAACATCTTGAATACATCACAAGGACAATATTGGATTTATGATCAATCAATCAATTTATTTGTATAGCGTCAACTCATAACAAGTGTTATCTCGAGACACTTTACAAAAAGCAGGTAAAAGACGCTGATGTGACAAAATCCACCTCAAACGTAAAAGAACAGGACCGACCAAGTTCACAAATCTTTAAGATATTTTTATTCTTAAAAAAAAGATCCATACAAAAGTCATTTTTACAAAAAGGTAAACAAAAAATACTAAAGCTGTTAAAGACACATCGTTGTTGAAATAGACAGCCTTAACCTTTTTTTTCTTTTTCTTATAAATAACAATAAAATACCTGCTACAGTAATGAGAGGGAAGCCTCAAGGACACTTTTGACATAATTGTTCCAAAAAGAAAAGAAGCATTTTCTTGAATCAAGAAACATCATTTTGAAAGTGGAATACAATGTTGTTAAAATGAATGTTTAATGTGAAGGAATCATTTATGATATAAAGTATTTGCTGTTGTCATATGAGATAAGTACTTAAGATTCAACTGAATGCCATAGAGGATTGATTCCCACCCAAATCTCAGAGGGGGCGCAAAGTCTAGTTTTCTCTGAGGTTGTCAAAAAAAAGATTTGCACATATTCACTAAAAATCATGACACACTTATATGCAAAGTTAATACAGCGGTCTTTTAGTAAAATGAAGTGTGTGTTGGCCAATTCTATCAATGAAAACAATTTTTGACAGCAATGTATCCCTCTTTTCATGTGGGTCCTCGGGGGGAGGGCGGGGGGGGGCTCAGCTTTTCTTAGATACAAGTAGGGGGGAGGGGTGACTCAAAGGAAAAAAAAAATGTTTGAACCACTGCTATAGAAACATGTCGCATTTAAAAAACGACATGTAAATAATACAAAATGAAAGTATGAAGGGATCTGGATCTGTTGACTGTCTGAGATCACACACATGTTGTTGGAGGAGGTCTGTTTTTATTGCCACGACAGAGTAAAACTATTAAGATGAGATCTTCCTGAGAATGTCTGTTTGTTCCATGACAGCTTGAAACGATGCATTACGTCAATAGTTTGGCCCTTTGCTGTAAGGATCCCTCCTCATCATGCTACCATAGCACATGGATGGATCGCAGACCCCAGGCTGACCGGGGATGCCAGGATTTCCACTTTTGCCCTCTGCTCCGTTTATACCAGGAGACCCAGGTTTACCTGGAGGACCTGGCTTACCGTACCCCTGGGGACCCATTGGACCTGTGGAGATAAAAATACTAAGTCATGGCCGCCATATCTGAAATCTTTTGAATATCCTCAGTATATTGGGATCCACATTTCTTACCTGGGGGCCCAGGTGGCCCTTGGTCTCCAATGGTGGATCGACCAGGACTCCCTCTCTCACCCTCTAAACCTGGTTCCCCTAGAAACACAAGAGTATTTGCTAAAGCCTCAAACAAAAGCCTTTTATCTACTGACTGTTCAATTTGACGCCGGTCTTACCTTTCAGACCGTTAATTCCACGGTGCCCAGGCCGACCAGGGAAGCCTGGCTGTCCCCTGGAACCACTAAGTCCAGGAAAACCCCTGAGTCCCTGGGGCCCAGTTTGACCTGGAGGACCAGGAGATCCAGGCCGACTTTGACATCTTTTACAGGTACCCTGCTGGTTGCTCAGCAACAATAAAGGTAGCTCAGCTATGACAATGGGAAGATTTTAAATGTGAGGTTAAAACACAAAGAAGCACATCATCATTAAAGTCTGTAGTGATGGTTTTCTTTTTTTATAGTTTAACCCGTGTGCCATTGGTTAACATGCAGGAGGCGGGGTTTATAACCTATACTCCAACCAGTCAGTAGGGGGTGCTCTATAATTTTGGCTTCACTTAATGTAAGGTGTTGCGCTGTCCATTCTTTATACGGTCTTTGAGTGAAACTCACACTGAAGAATCTCTCTGCAGATCTGACGTATGTGATTGTCCGACATTTGACTTGCCTGGAATGAAATTGATAGACCATGTGTATTTGAGGTGATTTTATACTTTTTTTTGTTAGTCAACATTTGATACAAACATCATAAGGTTGGCAAAAAAAATTGATTCTTCGATACTTTTTCTTAACACATTTTAAAACAATACAATCTCCGTTATTTTAATGATCAATGGTTTCAAGATACCAAAGTAAAAAAAAACTGCAATACATATTACGTATCTTGACAACCATATAACTAACTATTCAGAGTTATTAACACAGCATAGTTTTGCAAACATACAGATTGTCCTTCAGGTCCAGGTGGGCCCGGGATCCCACTGTCCCCCTGCAGCCCTCGGGGGCCAGGTGGGCCTGAGTGACCAGACTGTCCAGGTCGTCCCACTTGACCTTCTTGACCTCTCTGCCCCGGATCCCCTGTTGTCCCTTTCTGGCAAAAATACCACCCGAGAGTTAGAAATACACACAACAATGAAGGTTGGCTGGAGGTATGAGGTTGGATGGAGGTACAGTAATTAGTGAGTTCAGCTTAACATACCTCTCCTTTTAGTCCTGTTGGCCCGGTTGAGCCCTGTCAATGAAAGTCAAGACAACAAATTTAAAATGAGAAAGCACTTAGAGAGCCCATACCTCCAAAGAAGATGAAAAAAATCATATTTGTGATTTATGATGTGAAGCCTTAATGTAGATATGAATCAATATGCACATTTATAGAGACTCTGGATGATTTCTTTTTAAATTTTGCAGTGAAATACAAATACAAATTTAACACAAATCAGAATCATGAGCACTCAGTGTGCAACATGCTTTTATAGCAGCACCTATAGGCTAAGTTAGACATCTGCAGTGTTACTTTCCCATGTCCTTATCTCTACTTAACAAGATTACAGTTATACATGAATTTGCACAGGAATTGTTGTAACTTATGTCATATTGGAAAAACTCATGAACGCAAATGAAAGAACATAAAAGTGGTCAAAACAAAGATAATGTGAATAAATACGATTTTTGTTGCACCAAGGATTCCAAGTAGAAACATCTTATTTCCTTGTCTCACAGTAAAACAATTACAATGCATAATAAATGGCCACATGATGGCGCTATCCACATTTAAAATGAAGTTACAGTTTCTTTGATACCCTACTTCAACAGACCAATACACATTTTGGCTAACCCTAACAATAAATCCCCTTCCCCTAACCCATTATATGACATTAAATCATACAAAGGCTCAAACTCACATGTTCCCCTGGTCGACCATTCACTCCTTTTTCACCTTTCATTCCCTGACGAGGAAACAAACAGATGTAAGTCACAAATACATACAAAAATCTCTGTTTGTAAATCTGGTACTATCCTGTCAATAGTACTACAGTTTAAGTTTGTCATGCGAAAAATCCAGTCAACACATGATTGATGCTTATTTACAACAGTGAATGGGAGTTAATGGGTTTTAAATACGCTCTTTAAACACTTTGGATTATATAAATATGGCTATGATTCCTTGTTCCATTCCTTGAGTTAATTTTGTTTGCCTGACATCAAATTGATTTAGTTAAGCGTAAAACCATGTTGGAAGTAAGAACAGCAAATTTCCAGTTATAATTCCAACGTATGAAAAGAGCTGACATATTGTTGTTTTCCAAAAGTGAAAGAAATATGTCAGACATGAGGCTTTATTTCCACTGAATTCTTTAAATATATCAATTGCTGCAAAGATGATATATCTCTACTGCTAGTCATAATTTAGTCATTGAACTACAGCGTTGAAAACAATCTAAATAAGTTTTGGATAAAAACAACTGCTCTTGACTATTCACCCAATGGGGAGAATTTGCACATGTGTTGGTGTAAAGCTTGTAATGTATCGTCAACTTCTAAATCTGAGGCGCTATTTTAGATAAGCGATACAGAGGGCAACACAATCATAGCGTGAACTGCTTGTGTGACTAAGTAAGCGTTGCTTGTAGTGTCATTTTGGCTTCGGTCTTACCGTCTCTCCTCTTTCACCTTGACTTCCTCTTTGTCCCTGCAAATAGAAATGGATTATAACTATAAATAACATTAAAACAAACAAGGTTGCAAATGACTTACACAAACATGAACATGCACAATACATTAATTTACTACTTATACAGAGTCTTAGGACACATTTCCAAAATGAGCACAGAGTAATTGCTGAAAAAAAACCACCAGTTCTGATTGATGCATGTCTGTTGCATATAATTTATGTAACAAGTATAAGTCATTTATACAATTCTATTTTTGCAAAAAGTTACATGAAATATTCAATAGAAACCAACATTATTTTAATTATTGACCCACCTGAGTTCACTCTGACCAGTAAGCAACAAAAATGAATTTAAGAAGATATACCGTACTTATAATTCCACGAGGGGATATTACATTTTACACTGTGTTGTTCAACATACTACACACACATAGGCTGAAATACACATACATGCATGAACAGGATCCTTTGGACATGCACTAAGGGAGAGAGGGGGGGGAGGGTTCGGTGCCTTGACCCTGGAGCACCTCGGCAGTGCTCAGGAAGTGAACTAGCACCTCTCCAGTTACCAGACCCATTTCCAGACTTGGTCCGTACTGGCACTTGAACTGGCCACCCTCGGGTTCCCAACCCACGTCCCTATAGACTGAGCTACTGACACATTATCAGAAATCTTACATGTGAAAATGTCCCAGCTGAAGGAAATGGGAAGAAACATTAATGTTATGGCCAAGTTAGAAAAACATGTTATTAGAAATACCTTGCTGCCCTTCAGGCCTGGCATGCCTGGGTGCCCCGGCTGACCTTCTCTCCCTGGTTCTCCTGCACTCCCCTTTAAAAGTATTCAACAGAAAGAGAAATTAATTCAAATGGAAATAAACTTACTCTACATATTACTGAAAACAGGTCATGGAAACTCATCAGTTCAATCAGAGTTTTAATGATAACCCTGAGTGTTTTACTAACCCAATTTCTGAAAAGGTGGGACATAGTGTAAAATGTAAATAAAAACAGAATGCAATGATTTGCAAAACATTGAAACCCCATGTTTAATTGAAAAAAACCCAAAGAGACTGGAAAAGTTATGAAATACAAAAAACACCTGATGGAACTGCACAAGTTAACAAGATTATATGGCAACTGGTTAGAAACATGATTGGGTATAAAGAGAGAATCTTTCTGGAGTGAAGTAGGTGCAGGGTTCTTTAACTTGACGTTGCAAAGAATCTGGGGTTTTCATCATCCACATTATACTATCATTAAAAGATTCAGGGAGTATGAAGGAAATGTCAGTATGCAGGGGAAGAGGTCAAAAAACAATATTGGGTGTCTGTGATCTTACTGTCCCAACTTCTTTGAAAAGTTTTGCAGGCGTCAAATTCAAAATAACCGTATAATGTCCAATGACATTTCTGAGTTTGAACACTGGAAATATTGTCTTTCAATTAAATATGGGGTTTCAATATTATTCAAACAATCAAAATGTATTTGTATTGACATTATACACATCATCCCGGGTTAACTGTAGATTCTTTAAAAGACATACCACAGGTCCTGGTGTCCCTTGTGTGCCTGGACTTCCACCTTCACCCTTATTCCCCTTGATAAAGATTAAAAACATGTCATATTTTAATAAAAACATACAACAGAATTACATCACATCCTATCACTGGCTGCACTGCAGCATATCTCCACAAGGTTGTGCTGTTCTCAAGCTCCACTTTTAATAGCGTCTAGACGTATGTTTTCATTTCCAGTTGAACAGCCTCGGTAATTGCAGTCTGAATCTCAGCCATAAAATCAGAGTATCGCCAGCCTGTCCAAAAACTGGGTTTCACTCGTGTGCCATTGACCAATACACATTGGCCTGTTCAAAGCAGATTAGCTAATGAAAAGTGATCCGGAGACAGAGCCTCCAGCCCAGACGAGCCCAGACTGCTTACGTTTCCAATAAGATTCCACTGACGAAAGCATCTAGAAGCTAATCTTAGCTTAATTTAGCACTGCTGTTGTGGCCAAATAATCGTCACTCGTGCAAAGTTGTATTTTAGGAAAAACAGTGACCTAACAGAATATGTAATACTCCCTTGCCAAACGGCTTTCTATGCATTTCAAACGTCTCTATAGTTGGAGAGCTCTATGAATACCACTATCCAAGCTAGTATTCATATTCAACACAATGCATTATGCATAGACTGGATGATAGACTGGATGATAGACTGGATGATAAAGGGAAAGTTATGTCATAATATGACATGCCATATTGAACCGCTTTGCTCATTTGCAGCCTGTGTGGACTGCATCTTGCCTGACATGGCTCAGCCTGCAGCTTGTCACTTTCTAATGCTAGCTTGTGTTGATTGATTTGCGTTATTGACTTTTCTGGGTCACAGTTTGGGCTGCTGTGCTCACAGCCTGAGGGGGATAAACTCAGATTATACGTATGACACAGTTAATCCATTTTTAAAGACTATTAAGTCCCCTTGATGACTGCTGGTAGGATAAAAGTCAGACATTACTTCTGCTAGCGTCATTGCGGCTTTGTATCACTAACAGCACAGCTGTTTAAAGAAGCTCAAACAGGATTTCAAAAACAGGCATACGTAATTACCTTAGGTCCGGTTTGTCCTTTTAACCCAGGTGTGCCAGGTAAACCAATCTCACCCTACAGCAGAGAAAAAAATCTTGTCAACACATCTGATTCAGCATATAAAAACCTGTCCACAAATAGTCTTACTCATGACTTACAGGTGGTCCAGATGATCCCGTGAAGCCCCTCAGACCAGGTAATCCGGATTCCCCCTTACAAAATAATCACATCATTCGAACATAATCACTAAGAATTATGCAAAACGTTTTATATGTTTCTATAACACATGCATTTTGAACATCTTACTCACCTTTGCTCCATCCAGACCGGCAATCCCTGGCAATCCAGGCATACCCTGGGAGCAAGGCAACAGATAAAACTTAATTGTGCACACAACAAATTTAAGAAATACATAAAATGGAATTATTTGGAGGCATTGTTTTATGTTTCCAGTTTACTCACTTTCACCACAAGTCAATAATTCCATTGTGTCTGTAACAATTATAGCCATTTCTCAATAGAGGCAACTGATGGTTAAACATGGTGAACATGGAATTCTACGGTAAGTAAAATGTGCAATCCCTAGTTACGGTTGGTTGGTTTAACAGGAAAAGTGGAGAAATGTGGTTTTGGCTTTTTGAGGCTCAGTTCTTGTTCTTAATCATTAAGTTAAAACAGTCTCTCTAAAAGAAGATTGTGTCCTCCTTAAAACAAGCCTGATGTTCACTAAAATAACACTCTCTAAGGTTTTATTGCTATGTCAAACTGTATGATCCTTAGATGACTTGAACATCCTGTAATTGAGATTTTCACGCGTATTTTATATTCTGATAAATACCATAATGAAACAAGTAGATGTCAATGAAATTCTACTTAAAACAAGTAACTGAGCCAGGGCAGATATGTATGGATTCATGGTTTTGATTCATTTATTTTGTTGTTCAACACATGCAGCAAATCTACCCTTGGAAGCTTCTCAACTCTTTCATTTTAAGATAAATGCTTGCAGATGCTGCGTCGTTGCCTCGGACGACATTTTTAGTAACATATGCGCATAGGGAATAGATTAGATAGGCAGGAAGAGAGACAGGAATACAGAAACAGCCACCCAAGGCACTCACACTTCACCCATGGGTGAGGAAATCCCCATCTTGAGGCATACACTGAAGAGCTGCCTTTGTCTTGTTTTAACTTGAGGAGCTACAGCATGAACTTTGTCTCCCTGGATACATGGCTAACTCTTTGGTTCTGCTGGGGAAACATGGCTTACAGCCTTGTGGAGCAACTGAGTCATCTTTTGTAGACCCATCACAAACTTTTGGACCGCACTAATAATCATGATCAGTGGGGTGGCTTCCCAGTTGAAACACTTTCTTCCTAAAACAGATCTTCCAGAGAAGCACAGCATTCCCCCGATGAGTTACTTTCACTGCCTTGGATTATAGCATGAGACTGCTTGTTACATAACAGGGTTATCCTGGGATGAACTACAAGGGGAATACCCCTAATTTACTTGCTGTCAGGGGAGGGGGGGACTCTCTGTACTGCTGACAGTATGTTCACACACTGCAGTCATAGAGCTGTAAAAAAAAAAAAACTAATGCGTGCAAAGCTTTGATTTGTAAATTGGCTCTTGTGCAGAATCACAAGCCTATTTTAATGTTCAGTTGCTGACAGAATAATTTAATATCAGCCACAATTAGCATTCGTTTTTCAATAACTTTGGAAGTCATAATGAATTGACCTTTCATCTGGTGAATGGTAAATGGACTTGAGCTTGTATAGTCTTCTGATGACTCAAAACGCTTTTACACCGCAGGTCACACCTACCAATTCACACCCATTCACACACTGATGGTAGAAGTTGCTATGTAAAGTGTCCATCAGAAGTAACTAATCACATTCATACACCGCTGACAAATCAGCGGGAGCAACTTGTGGTTAAGTGTCTTGCTCAATGGACACGTTGGAAATGTGGCTGCAGGAGCTGGGGATTGAACCCCCGACCTTCCGGTTGAGAGACTACAGTCTCTACCAGTGAGCCCAATCTAAAATTTCCTCAGTGGATTTTAATCTGAACACATTGTGGGGCACATTTCTTTTTTGATTCATTCCCAATTTGGGTGAAATCCTTGTTTTCTGAGTGAAAACGTATAGCTCACACATCCTTCAAAACACACATCATGTACAATGATTATTGTCTGTGGTTAAAACTCACGGGATGTCCTTCCCGTCCATCCACACCAGGAATGCCACTGGTCCCAGTCTCTCCCTTAATACATGGGGAAAAAAACAAAACATTATTAACACATCGCATTGTTATAAAAAGTTAATGATGAACAATTAGTTTCACACATAAATGTCTCGTACTATTGGATTGATTACGAAGGCATTTATCTAAAGCATGAAGAATGCCTTTGGTGTTTATTGTAGTTGTCATATTGAGTTTGGAAAAAGACGAGGGAGACACCAGCGCTGTAGTGCATTTCCATGGTTGCCAAACATCAACAACACAACTTTTGGGAGCAGCAACGTCTGTTAAGAATAAATATGTATGCTAAGCCAACCTCATGCCTCTATTCTTCTCCTCATCCATGAATGAACTTTGTAAAATGCTGGAAACAGACCTTTTCACCAGGTCTCCCTGGAAATCCATCTTTTCCATCCCTCCCGGGTAGACCCTGAAATCAGAGAATAGGGTTTTGAAATGTGTTTGTTATGGCACACAAACTTAGGACTTGATTCTAAATCTGTCATACATACAGGTTCTCCTGGGTAACCGGAGGGCCCAGCAGGTCCCATAGTCCCCTTTTCACCCTGGGAATATTATACCATCATGTAAAACCTGTTATGTATCCTGTGCCATGTTCAGTATTTATTCATTCATTTTTGTTCATCTTACCACTGGCCCTGCTGTTCCCGGTAGCCCTGAAATTCCTGTGGATCCTATTGAGCCCTGGGAAAAGTGAGAAGATTTTTAATGATCATTTGATGCAATCTAGTTCCTACATCCCTCTTGACTAACATGACATTGCTTATTTGAACTTTCAGTGATTAATCTGGCATTCATAAGGTTTAAAGTGTGGGACAATTGCCATCCTACAATCAATATAAAATCAGTATGGTCACAAATACAGTTGATATGTTCAGTGTTTGATATTATTTAGCAGTGGATTTTAGCAACTTCTTGGACAGAAATGTTAGGTACTCATTCCTTTCATAGCATCATTCTGGAATTTAAAAAATCACACTTGTTGTTGACCTATAAGAAGATATTGATCAACCCCCTCTTGAGTGATTGCGCAACTTAGGGGAGTGATGCGCTGTGCACTGTCATATTTTCAGAATTGCAAACAACATGTGGAACAATATTACATCATTGAATAATATGCTAATCAACTCCATCATGTGACCATATTACATACTTATTACTGACTGGTTCAGGGAATTTTTGCGGCTGACAACATTTATCTTGTGGCTTCGTTTGCATATTTGTCTATAAAAAAAAAATGATGGTCAAAGTGTCGACAGTTTCTGTCTCTCATTATTCAGTCAACGGGCTGGTTGCAGGAATATATGTTCCATTGGTCGCAAAATATTAATCAAAAATCTCTCCAGCTTTTGTCTTAATCAAAGTACTGTTAGCAGGTGTTGCTTACCTCAAGAAAATATATTGTAAAAGGGATTTAAAGGCTGACTGGCTAGAAGTGCTGGATCTTAGCCAGAAAATACACAACCATTGCAGCACACTGTTAGGGCTTTTGCTTTTTTTGTCTTCATGTTGCTGTATGGTTGCCTGTTTTGTTGGATTGTGTCCAAATGCTAGGGCTTACCAGTTTGTGTGAGCATAAAGCATAGACAGCTGTTCACATAAGAAGTGTAAGCAGTGGCTGCTGTGTTTGCACATCTTACGTGTGCAGGAGAGCCTGTTTTCATAGGCAGATAGGATAAAGAGCTTTAACTAACAGAAATCCTCACTCCCACAACCATGCTGTGGGTTTCCAATTAGGGAGGCTGATTCTGTCCAATGAATGTTGCCAAAATAGTTAAATGAATGAACTATAGAGATCATTGCACAGACTTGTTACCCATGTAATTAGTAAAACAATGTTCCTGTAAGGTGATGAATGACTGTGGTCATGAACAAGTATCACTGACTGTGAATACACAAACACAGCTCATTTTTTTGGCAAACACTCTTTCTTCATCTTGTTACAGTATCTTGAATTATGTTCTTGTGAGTTAATTTAGCAGACATTGCATGTTTCGAATCTCTGGATCCTATGCCAGGAAAAAGAGCCTACACCCTTGGGTGTACAATATGGAAACATTTATGTAGGTGGATGTAAATCTGTTTATAGCCAAAGAAAGTTTTATACTTGATAAGGATTCCCTCTAAATTTGAGACAGATAGGATGCTCGCTGTTGTCTGGAGACCTCTTGGTTGTCAGAGATTGTTCTGTGGTGTATGGAGGGTCTTTGGCTTTACTGAAGTGTAAACACCATGTGGCCAAGCATTTAGACAAATTGTTACTAGACCGAAATTTTGGGTAATTTCCCTTGGCTCCAACGAAGCATTGATTAAAGTTGAATGCTGATGATAAATCTGAACTTGGTTGATTGGTCGTTCAGTTCACCACATGCGTCCGGACCAACGTACTGTTTCTCAACAATAATTTCATGGATTAATGAGAAACTTTTGTACAGACAATTACGGTCCCCAGAGGAGGAAATGTGCTGACTCTAATGACGCCCGAGTTTTCACACTATAACAAGTTGTGATTGATATATTATGAGTGGAATACCTCATATACATGATGGGATGGTTAGCTTCAACTTTGGTACACATGTCCATGTTTGAAATGAACTGTCATTTCCTTGATAACAAAAACAATATTTTCAGTTTATGACCAAATGCCTAAAGATCTCTTTCCACCATACCAAGTTGTAGTTGATGTTTGAACGTGAAAATGGTCTACATCATACATGTATAACGTCATGTTTCATGATCCATATCAGCATGTTGGGGTTTTGATGTTAAATTCTGCTATCATGGTAACAGACTGCAGACGGTCACTATGTTGATTAACTTTTGATTTAATCAAATTGTTTTAGAACAGCATGGGGTGGTTTAATGTGAATTAGAAGTAACAACATTTAGTTTCAAAAAGTTCAGCCAGAACAGAAGAGCAAAAGTGTTCCTCAAGTGCCCACTTGAAGCTAGCTCCAACAGCTAAGTAAATCCAAATATGTTTCATTATAAAAGGCTGTTTTTTTAGAACAGAAATAAACATGTGTACAGCCTGCAATAATCACAAATCAATGAATTGGCATAATAAAGGGGGAGGCTGAGCTGATTCTTTGAAGGGTGCATAACAGCTGTTTGCCAGGAAGCTTAATTTGGCCTCAGCGCCGACCCTTTGCCTGTTTCTAGATTGATTGAAAATTAGGTTGAGACAGCATTCCCAATAGAGCGACTGTAGATGGGAAAGGGTGAAGTCACTGAGAGCATGTGTGACAACATACATTTCTTGTATCTACAATAATGTAAACTTTTAAGCTATTTGAAGAACTTTGACTTTGTATCGAACTTATTTGAAAGATGTTTGCCATGGAACAGAGATGGAAAATCACTGGGAGCGCACCTCTTATACACTCATCTCATCATTTATGATGCCTCGGACCATTAAACTAAGATGTTTAATTATGGCCTTGTAAACCAGCACTTTGGTTGAACAGTAAAAGCCATAAGGGGTCTTTGATTTAAGTGCAATTGTGATTTAAAAAAAAAGAGACGGTAATGGTTGGGAGGGCGGTCCCTGATTCTGTTCTCCATCTTTTGTTTTGTTAATCCAAAACTCAAAGTACTTCACTGATCAATGACAGTTGAAAGGATAGTCCTTTAAAACTTCTCATACATCCTGGGCCTATAATTGTAACTTTAATAATGGGGCAGAGGGTACAGAAGGGTTTGATCCAGGTGTGTCTGTGTCTGTAAGACAGCTGAGACTGTTTTCAAAATGACATCAACTGCTTGCAGTGTTCTGGAGGGGGCCTCCTGTGGTCACACTGATTACAAGGTAGGACGATATGACAGAGGTGATGCAATCTGGACAGGATGCATTACCTCACTACGCTTAGAGTTAAACTAAATGCAAATGTAGTTCAGATGAACATCAAACAAACAGCTTTCTGGATTGTTCTGGTTAGAGCTCTGGCTACAAGGCTTCAGTTAACTTGGCTGTAACTGCAGTCGAGGCCTTTCTACTTCTTATTGAGCAATAACTGCTGGAGCGTCGCTTGCTTGTATGGATCATTGGATCAATTTGCTTCTCTTTCACTTGGATTGCTTGTGGCAGCTGTAACACAGGTGCTTTCCCCATGTGGCTTGTATGCTTATGCCTTGTTACACATTGTTCAATTGCATGAATGTGTTATAGCCTGTGCTTATCCAGCTGAGGCACCTCTGTCTGTGGGCTAATCCTCCTTTAGATGGTTTATTGATTTCTAACAGTGTATTTCTTCTAGATGTTTTGATGCCGCCAAAGGCTGAGATATTCTCACGCTGGCTTTCGGTGTGAAAGATGTAGACCTGCCAGTAAGGGTGAAACAAGTAGTCGCAGTTCCGTTCGTACCTTGGTTTTGGGGTCAAGATCCAGTATGAGTTCAGTACGAACAGGAAAAAGGCAACACTGCATAATTATTTTGGACCGAGATGACTGTATACCCCCAAACAGCTGATTAAAAGAAGCACGGGCGTCTAACTCCACCGTGTCATTTAGCCAAATAACTCCTCTTCTTCTGGTGTTTTGTTGCGTCTGCTTCTTCTTCTGTGTTTGTTGTTTAATAGCAGTTGGCAAACAGATTACTGACACCTGGATTGGGGGGTGGATACTGCCATGTGTAATGGCCTTTTTCCTGTGATTTGGGACAAATACCATAACACCCCTACTAGCATACCAACCCCTGCCAGGTTTCTCCTACTGGTTAAAGATGGATGTTTCTTTATTTTATTTTGTCTTTTTCATAAAAACATACAATGCAGATGGCGTTAACATTTACAGGGCGTTTTTCTTGCTGACGCGACAGACATTTCTACCTCGGTGGGGGTACAGCATGTTCTGCTTTGTTGGACTCTATGTGTCGTTTGAATATTATTTTTCGTAAAATCTCAGGGTCAGAGAAGGAATCATGTATGTTGTCCTTGAGATTCATTTACCAGTCTACCAATTGTTGTCCTTGCATCTCCACCCGAACCTTACTGTACTTGGGAGGCTAAGAAACAAGAAGGACATGATGCCATGGGAAAACACAAGGCTATAAGAACAACGTTTTGCCTCCCTAAAGTTTCAAAGAGAAGTCCAAGTCTTTGAGCTTCTCAAGAATAAAGCAGAACAAAAATCAGGAAACATTAACATGCTTAAAAAGTCTCTGATGGCCCCCGTGGTCCCCCTCCAAAGGGCTCTTGTACCTCTGTATATCGGAGAGGATGTACTTTTTAATCTCTCAGGGGATCTGGCTTTATATGTATAACATATGGTTTCTAGCATGATTGATGCAACAATGTTCAAACAGTTCACGTTGATGTGTCTAGCAGGAGTTTCCTGTTAATTTTACATTTGATCTCGTTAAAGATTTGCCCAGACAATGCAGTGTGTGTTTTATACTTGCATTTAGTGATTTAACTCATTTTAGGTGCTTGAATTGACATTTGATACCTAGTACCAAACACGATCTAGCTACACTAATAACAAGCAGAAAAATATTATCACCTTCTCTCCAGGTTTTCCAGGCAATCCTTGTAATCCAGGAACACCCCTCTCACCCTGAAAGAACAGACTTGTATTAAAAATTATTCTTTAGCAGTCATAAATTAGTGCTGCAGCTCGATAACAATTTCTATTGCGCCAGAAAAAGCGTTTTTTAACCTTCCTACCGAAACACCAGACCTCCCTTGCTCGCCTTTGTTCCCATCTGGCCCACGTTTTCCCTGAAAGGATAAACAGGAAAACCAAATTTCAATTCCCTCTTTTCCATGATGAATTTTATATGAAAGTAAAATCATTTATTTTTAGTTTACCTCCACTCCTGGTGGGCCTGGCAGCCCTGGACTCCCTCTAGTTCCAGGGTTACCCTTAAAAATGAAAGAAGACATGAGACGAAAACATTTGGTTAAACATTTGAACCCATTCATCTGTTTGCATGTCCTTTAATGGATTTGAGCCTGAGGGGTAGATTCTTTCTCTGGGTTTTTGATCATGCTGTAGAACATGTGGTTCACTTTTGGACGCTTTTCATCACACACAAATCACCACTCTCCTGCCACCAGTGGTACAACCAGAGATGTTTTGTATTTACCCATTGGAAAATAAGGCAATAAGTGTGTTTACCACAGTTTTTTAAATGCCGAAGCAGTCCAGACCACAACTGGTTTTGGCAAAGTCTCAGATGTTGTGGAGACTCTGTTGTGATGTTTCTGGAGGTTATATTCTGTATGTTTGTATATTGAACTATGTAGTACTCACAGGCTTACCATCAGCACCAGCAGGTCCAGGCTGACCCGGTTTGCCAATGTTTCCTTGGTCTCCCTAAAGAAAGTGGAATGGGAACATTTAATCTTTTGTATCTTAAACAAATCTTCATGCAACCTCAAAGCTGTATTAAATAATCCCTTTAAAACATCTCTGGTGATAATATTCTTTTCTGAGGCTTATAGAGTGTTGATGATATTTCTCTTCGAACCATGCAGAGCAAGCTGGTGAGTTGTAAAAATGCTCTATGTGGGGTTATAAGGAACATCTGCAAGCCAGCAATGGTCCCAACAATTTGGATCTATTATTAAACGTACTTAAAGCACAGCAGGGATCTTATAAACACAAACACGCCTGAACCCATGGAGGTTTTATTCACTAAAAGACTTGTTCCTAAAGTAAATCTCCAAGGTCCTTGTGTAAAGGCTTTTATGACCGGGGCTGCTATTATTTGGTTGATTCCATGTCATCAATAAAGACAAACACGTAGGTTTTACTCCTTTATTTGGTACTTTTCCACATTAACCAGTGTTTATATTGGCAGTGTACTGGTTTGCTTAAGCCAACAGTACAGTACAACAGGATCTTACAAGAAAAACCAGAACTGACTCATAATGGCAAGCCACAATTAGCCTAACTGGAGGAAAGAGGCTATTTAGTGTTTCCAGAATTTGTAAAACTGCAAATTTCTTAAAGTTAACTGTGTAATTAAAATGTGCAAAACAGCCCACACAGCAAAGTCCCTGGCCCAATGAAAACCAATGTTTACAGGCTGTAATGTCTCTAATCGAATTTGATCTGTTGGTAGAGTGCAACCTCATGTGTTTGTCACTTATTAGACACAGAGAGCAGCATTTAGACATCACCTGGGAATTCAGCACACATTTCCTCTTCCTTGCTGAAGAAAAAGACATTGTGCTCTTTTAAGTGCTGAGTTTACAGAACATTTTTGTGTTGTAAATATCGAACAAATGTATGTAATTTGAGCTGGGTATAGCCTCTTATTTTGAATTTTTTGCATTTTATTTCTGAGCCCAACACCCCCCGCCATAGGAAAAATCAGTGGGGATTAACAAGCCACAAAGAAACAGGGCTGTTTCTTACAAAACAGCAGCATAAGTTGACATATATCCTATCAGAAAAGTTGAAATTACAATCTATTCATTTACGTGAGAAGGAATAGGATTTCTTTTAGCACACAGTGTGGAGCAAGCGTCAAGTCTGCGCTAACTGATTAAGATTAATCATTCAGGTTCATTACAGTGATATTTATCATATTGCAGATACACCAGCCTGATGCCTCTTGCAAACCACTTGGGCAAACATAAGGATGAGGCTCTTTGTCTGGCGCTTGTTTTGCGTCACATATAACACAATGGTGTAATAGATGCTGTAAATAAGACGGTAAAATGACACAATGCAAAGATTAACAGGGTTGTCTTAGGTCACTTACCTTTATTCCTGGAAGTCCGGGGGGTCCAGGAGGACAAACACAAGGCTCAAGAGTTGGTTCAGCGTAGTCAGGACTGTTGGAGCACTGTAATCAACAAAATAAGGCTCTAATGAACAAGACCAGACGTTAAGTCTAAAAGCAAGGTATACCTCTTAGAGCTGCAGAGATTACATTATTGATGATGTAGTAGTCAATAGATTGAAAAAGAAAAAAAGAATATGCAGCACTGACTAAGATTTCTTTGCAGAGAAATAATCTAAAAGCACAGAGACAGAAAGAAGAGAACAGTTGTTCTTGGCAAACATTTGAAATGTAAGGTTCTGATATCTCTTTTAACTTTTCTTATCCAACAGGCACACAGAAAATAGTAGCTTGTGGTTGTAAACCATTTCATATAGCCAAGATAACAATGCAGCCACTGCCTCATAAACACAGTTGTAGCCAGAATACAATAAAAACTGTACTGAGCACAAAAGGTTTGGGACCTTCTCCAACAAATTATTTTATTCACAAACAGATGTGACTGCGAGAGAATATGCTACGTTTGCACTTTCATTACGCAATACTCGGAGAGGCTGAGCTGATGCACTGCAAAGCGAGACAAACATTTGATGCCATGCAGTAAGGTGCGTGGAGTTTAACTGGCGGTGAAATTGCGCGGTGCATTTCCTGAGCAGAAACAGATGTGGTTTGACAAGGTGAGAAGTAGGTGGGAAGAAGTTATCTTTGTTGCCTTTAGACTGAAAAACAAAGTTCATAGCCCAGCAGGCCGCGGTACTTACAACTCCAGGTATTTCACACGCCGTCTCTCTGGTGTTCTGCTCCGGGTCACAGTAGATGCGAAGTTTCTGAATTTCAAACTAAACAAATTTTTTTTTAAAAAGAACATCATTTCGTAATCAAATAAACACAAAGAAGTTCCCAATGACTTCAGAAACAACCCAACTGTAATAATGGGGGTAATTTTGCAGCACTTATTTCAGGTTTATCAGAGCTTTGAAACCAATGAACTGGAATTGCTGTTGAGTAACAGCTAAAGGACATTGTGCAACTACATGTTGCCAGACCTCCCTCAGTGTTGGACGTGTTCTGCATCCACGTTACTCTGTTCTTCCATTATTTGGAATTTTGCTGACGTTGGTAGTAAAATGGCTCCAGAAAGTCCCATAGTCGTTTTCACTTCAGTTACCATGCGAACGGGACGACGTCCTCACATATGATTTATATTATTTCCAGCCTTTTGAAAACTTAAGTAAAACGATGTGATGGATCAGTGTTAAACAATATAGTTTACATTTTCCTTTATGAAAGCAGTGAGGGCTCGAACATAAAAGAACTGCTTGTTTTCTTCATGATTTCATTTCATATTAAATTACATCGAGGCCATTTTGGTGTACAGTCAATAAAATCTGTTTCAAATTGTGAGTGTGTTCATCCACAAATGACACTCATATAAGTGCATACACTTTTTGTTAAGTGGCTTCAAACTAGATGAACCTTGTAACAATGGATTACTGCACATAATAAAATTCACTTCCAAGCTGTGGTTCATGTTAACACTCACTGCTCTAATGATGTGTAAACATACAGGCTGGCATAGGAGATGTAAAAGTCTTGAATGAGTTATGTACTCCCATTTTTAAACAAGGACGTTCCCTGCATGTGTCCTATTATTTCACATGGTATAAATCTTGTCAGTGATTACATATTATTAAATGTATTAAAAGCAAGTATCAGTATCAAAAACAGCTTGTTATATAAAGGATTTCATTTTAGAAAATGGGTACTTAGTGTTACGGCTGTATGTTTCCCTGTGCCCTGTGTCCCTTCTCCCCTTCTGTTGTCTCCAGCCCAGGTGAAGCTACTAATTGCACAACGAGGTACACCTGGCCTCAGTGCTTAAAAGGCCAGTGGTGGCTGCAGAGATGGGAGGCATTTTGAGTTGGGACTGCTGTGCGGCTCAGTCAGGGATCAGCTGTTGTCTTTTGGTTCTCGTTTGATTTTTGTTATCATTCAGTGTGTCATTTTGTCCCTCTGTTTTGACTTTCGTTAAGGTGGTTAGTGTCTTTTAATGGGTCAATGTATGGTTTGCTGTTAGCCCCATTGGGCCGCCTTATGGTGGGGCATAACATTAGCTACTCTCTGTCTTGAAACAAATGCAGCAATGCCAAACTAGCTTTATTGCTATCTCTACCACTGATCCACAGCCGCATTAGCTTTTTGTAGATTTACACAGTTTTCACAATTAAAACAATAAAATGTATGCGGTCAGCCTTCTTTTCCATACTGTTATCACAACAATTAAATTATATATATGGAATATAAAACTGCACACAGTTAAACAGCTCCAGAGTAAATAACAACCCAGAGATATACACATTTTGGCACAATATTAGTCATTTGAGACAAATAAAACAAAGATGAACTTATGGAAAACAGCTCATTGAGCCAAACATTTATTAACCCAGAGGGCTAAACGTGCCACGAAGGATGCAGCTATAAACCTCAGCACTGTGTGATCCTGTTAAATCATATATCAGTATCAAGGTTGCTGAGCTACTCACGAAACAAAGTGTTCTCTTTTCCTATCATTTTCTATATTACTTCCCTGGGACCCAAGCATTATGTATTTTAAGAGAATAGGGTTGTTGATGTTCAACTTACTGGCACTGTTGTTTCCTTTCGGACATATTTTCCAACTTGGGTTTTCCCATTGATGAAAATGCCAACTGGAGGCTCCAAGGATAGGGACTCGATTTCCATGTCATCAACATAAAGAGTCACATCCTCCTCAGTGACCAGCAGCCTCATCTGGTGCCATGCCTCATCAAACAGCTTCTTTTGTTGCAACAAAAGAACAGGAAATAGTCATTAATACACTTCCTAGTGGCAAAAAGTCCCCTTGTGGGAAGTAGTACAGTGTTGTGATTGTATTTGAGAGCAAGAAGCACAAACTCAGAAACTAATTTTGAGTTGATGTCTTAATACCTAAAAAAACAATAATGGGTCGCATTTGAAAGAAATAAAACTTTTTTAAGCTTGTGGAAAGTAGGCTTAACATCACACGTTATATTTGATTGTATGATGGTCCAGATGGAGTCAATGTGAACATATTCTGAGAGTTAAAATGTGGTTTCAAAGATAATGAGTTCCACAGTGTTTGTGTGCTTGAGTAACAGACTGCTCAGATAGTGTCACAGTCCAGGGTGTAACCCCGCCTCTCGCCCGATGACAGCTGAGATTGGCTCCAGCCCCCCCTTCAACCCCAAACGGGGAAAAACCAGCATAGATAATGAATGGATGGAGTTCAGATAATCTGCCTGTCTGAAGATCATCAATTATATGGTTGTGCTATTTCTTCAAGTTTAAGGACTTTATCTGCACTGTTTTACTACGGCGCCTACTTTTCTGATAGATGTCTGAGGCTCTACAGGTTTATACAAGCTACACTGAAGTGAAGTGAGGAGGATTATGGTTGATTGGTTAAGTATTACATGCTGCTGAAAGGACATGCTTTGACCTCTGAGTTGTATTGAATTGTATTATGACTCAGAAACAGAAGACTGCTGAAGATGGATTTTTTTTTTCCAATTTAGAAAGCTGCTCTGCCTAATTGACCTCAACTTGTATTTCTGTTATAATATAGATGAGTGTCTGTTGAACTATATACACACATTTACACCATGCTTTGATGGCATAACAGCATCAATCAGACTCCTTAGGAGTACTTCATCAATGTAGCAATATACCTTAATCAGGATGGAGCACTCATATGGGACAGATTTGGACAAGCATCAAAGCAGTGGCAGTATTTAAATCCCTACAATGCGTCAGGTTCCAACAATACTGCCTCCTACGTTTCCCATTATGCAACTCAGTAGCAACAGAAGCCACACCCTGCACTCATGCTCTTCAAAAGTTATCTAGGTCACTAGATAGACTGTATAAAACTTGGAAGTAGTGTCAGTGACGTCAACAACTGTTTTTCTGAAAGAGAGAATCCCAATGTTGGGAAATGCTGACTCAAAATAACTTTCTGCCAATACTGTAACAGGCAAAGAGGTGGTGCCGAGGCGGGCTTTAAGCCTCATGGCAAACAGCTGCAACACATCCAACTGTCAGTATACTAAGTACTAAGAATTTTAAAGGTTCATAATGGAGTGTTGCTTTACCCTTGTTGTTTGTTGGGAAAATGTAACCGTCTGAATTCCACTTGGTGCTGTGCTTGTTGTCGTGAACATGACGGTGCGGTCCAGTCCATTCAGAGTCACTGCCATCTGAGGTCTCCCATCCCGTGTCTGTATTCTCCATAAATCCCAGTCCTCTATCGTCACTGATCCTTTATACCTCATTGTGGCAACAAAAACGTACGACGGTGGCAGCCCATCTGGAAAGAGGTTCCTGGGTGACCAAATTCAGAAGTCAGTAACAGATCTTGTTGTGACTACACTGGTGATTACCAAGAGAAAGTAAATGCAAAACGAATACCGTGTAGCTTCACTCAAGTCCAGACGAGATGTGACTTCATAGGCCTTAGAGCCGTAAAAGGCTCCTTTTGTCTTCTTTGCTTTTTTAGCCAAGTTTAAACGTAACAGAAGATCAAAGCCCTTTTCTTCACGGGAATCTATAGGAATTTTTGCTGGACAAACAGTCTCTGCAAAGGACAAAACATGGAAATGGAAGCATAGACAAAAATATTGATTCATAGACTACTAGCACATGATGGAGACAAATTAGATAGAAGCAGTTTTCACACATTCACAATCTCACAGATGAGAAAACTTTCCAAATTTATCCTGGGAGCTTGAACTTGGCTGTTGATACGTAAAATTCAGTTTGGATTAGGCGAGAGTTTTAGGCTCTGAATTCTCTAGTGACTCTTTTGTGCGTTGATATCAAAAAACCCAACGAAGAAGGATATTTTGGAAATAGAACTTTTTGAGAAAAGATTATGTGAGTAAGTTAGGAACTATAAACTGAATGTCAGTTGGACGGCATCGAAGGAAAAGTGGAGGTCTGTGCAACACTGCGGCCTCTAGTGGATGCATTTTTTAACATCCGTCCGAACATAAAGGACGATTGGGAGTATGGGGAATGACGGTATATCCTTTGAAATCGACGTATCTATTTTTAAAAGAACATCAAAGTTGATCCAAATGGGCTTGTAGCAAACAGGTGAAAGTCTGTTGCTCAGATCAACTGATTCATGTCTGTGTTCTAACACTTAGCCAATCTGGGTAATTTCCTGATTTTTTTTTCGACATTACACCTATGACAGGAGACTTGAGGTGAGGAGATTCGCCCAATACTGTCATGAATACAATATTTGAGAAGAACAACACCTTAAACTTCCAATTAAATCAGCTGATACTTACCTTCACACAGTTTTTGTCGTATGACCTGAATAATCCTGGAAATAGATTTGTAGTCCTCAACTGAGAACACATAAGTTGAAGCCGGCTTGTTTGCAATGTCTCTCAACTCAGCTGTTTCTGTCTCCGACCCAACACCGATTGCAAACATAATTACTCCTTTTTTTCTTGCTGCCTCGGCTGCTTTCAAAACCTCATCTTGCGACTTTCCGTCTGTGAGGACAACAGCGATTCTGGAAATGCCTGATGGGCCACGCTCAGAAAGGCCAAACAGTTTGTCTGTGGCAAACTTAATGGCTGTCCCTGTCCTTGTGTTTCCCCCCATGTACTCAATGGACTCCATGGCTTTGAGGAGGTCTTTGTTAGAATTGTACTTCCCCAGAGGTATCTCTAAAACGGGGTCATCGCTGTACTGGACGACTCCAACCTGGGTAAACTTCTGTCCAATGTTGAAGCTTGTTGTTATGTTGACGAGCCATCGTCTAACTAGTTCAAAATTGACATCTTCGACACTCCATGAGCCGTCTAAAATAAAGACCAAATCACACGGCGCAGTCCTACAACCTGAAGCAGACAGGAAATATACAATCAGTAATGTAAAATAATGGTTTTGAGAAATGGTATCTATTTTGGTGAAATACACAACATGAAATGCATTTACAGTACACTGAATCACCTTTGCCAGTTGTATGCACTATAAAGTTGTGAATATATGGATTATAAGCATAAAAAGTGTGAGAAAAATGAAGACAGAAGAATTCTTACTTCTTAGGTCTTCATCTTGAGCTGCACTAAACAAATGGAGAAGCATGAAGCATAGACATCTTAAGACACATTGCATGGATGGCGCTTTGTAACCCATTATGCAGCAGTACCAAGTTCCAATTGTGCACCTACGGGGAAAGGGAAAGACATGCCTTGTATTGCAGGGAAAAAGAAAAAGACAATGCAAGCTTTTGTGACACTTTAACTGTGGTGTTCCTGTCTAGACAAAGGGAAATGTATTAGACTTTTGAGTTTTCATTAAGCTGCAATTTATTCTGGCCTGTTCAAAATTTGACTACATGAATGGGTATGACTCAAATGAGACAGCAGGGAGTACATGCATAAATAAGCACTTTGAGTATTTTTCTATAGTTTATTAATGGAATTATTCATGAAGTGATCTATGTACATTGTAATGAACTCATATTTGCATTTAACAAAGCCTGGCAACTTACAAGATAGACATAAGTGCAGAGAAGTATGCTCATACAAGCTGACTTGGTGACAATAATACTGTATGCATTGTGCTTAGGACATGGCCCAAGTCGAGCACAGATCTGATAGGACTCTCCATTGTTTGTGGTCATTTGAATCTCCATATAAAAGGCCAGAAAAAGGTACAGTGGAGGAAGTCTGGCAAATGTCAAAATGATGGAGAGAGATACAATCAAGCCAAGAAAGAACAAAATAGTCAGATGACTAATGGTTTCATCAACTGGTCCTACAGTACCACATAAATTAGTTAAATTACAGTCCATTATTTTGATTTTTTTGGCAAATGTAAGGCATTGACAACAGAGACAAATTTTCTATTTTGATTCTTGTTGTAAAGCTGAGTAACAAATAACAGTTTGACCAGTGTAATCGGTTATTTTAGAGTTACTTTTACAAAATGCAGACCTCATTACATTTTTGTATCATATTCACCCTTTCCAATCTGTGTCTTCTGTCTCCACCTACTCCTAAGAACAGTATTTGGCTGTTTAATTTCTAAAATGCTACACTTCCCTCATCAGCTAGATTTAAGTTTTCTCTATTGATTTGTCAGATTTTTCTTTTTCTGACAACAACTGCCTGCTTTGACTCGAGACAGGAGGTGGGAGGGAACCGAAAACAGTGAAGCTCAAACAACTACATAATGACCTGAAAGACTAATTAATCAATGTGACCATGTGTGACATATGATTGGGACAGTTTTTCAATGTAGGACTAAGCAACACATTTGGTGTAATGGAAAGCTAAAAGTTATATTAAGAAAGAGAAAGAGAAACTACAATGGGCACCATGCTTTGTTCATCAAAGGAGCAGCACTACCCATTAACCACAGTGAATAAGACATGGTTGAATGTCACCACTGAAGAGCATTTCCCATCGTTCCTTTTCCCCTAAATTGCTTTCATGTACTACCACCCACTGCTACATAAAAAAATCTCTGATTTACTCACTTTGACCACTAAGTTTACCCTAAAGCTTGTATCAATCCTCAATGTGGCACAGACTGTCCCTCCAATCCTTCTGCACACTGCCATCGCCTTAGTACACCTAAGCATATTCCTTTCAAGCTTCATCAACCAAATCCTCACATGGCACTGTCAGCTTTACTAAATAAATAATCCACTGAACCTCTGACCACAACCGCCACTAAACCAGAGCTCTGCGTTTCCTGTGGGATTATCAGCTGTTTCCTCAAATCTGCTGCCATTTGCCAATCTCTGCCCACCCTTGGCCCAAACACAAAATGACTGCCCAGAAAAGTTTCTCTCCCACACTTTTTCTTTCCTCGTGGGTAGAACCAGTTCTAATGCCATCCTTCCTACCAGCAGATGAAGTAACCTCGATCAGTTTCTGTTTGCTGTTGCTTGAGCACACACACACAAAACATACAAGAGCAGCTGTGTGATTCTTGTGAAAGATTATATTACACCTTGGCAAAAGTATAAACAAGTCTGAACATATGGTATCAGATATTCGGGGAAAGTGTTACCTTAACAAATTGTACTGATAATTAAATGTCTTTTGATTTGCTTCCATACTTTGAAACTCCTTCCATCTCCACTTTTTAGATGTAATTAATTCATCTAATCTGGTTTAACAGCCTCCCTTATGCTGATGTTTTGCCCTACAACCATTATCTGAGTGATAGACTCAATCTGTAAGAGGTTTGTTGTGCAAGGCCCTAAGGCTTCCATCTACACCTGCAGAACAACACCCTTGCTGTAAGACTGAGTGCTGACTCTTGAAATATTTCTCCAACAGGATAATGAACAAACATATCCAAACATAGGACCCTGTTTAACCTCAATGTTATGTGGCTGGCAGATCAAATAATAACTCAAGAAATGATACCTCATCTAACCTGAAAGTGTGTCTTAAAGCTCCTGTTAGGAACTCCCTGTGTTGAGTTTGGTGCCCCCTATGGACATTGTGGTATCTCTTGCCTCTTTGTTGATTTTGTCCTGTACATGTGTAAGCAGTGTTATTCAACACAAAAAAAATCTAATCCAGCTGTCTTTATTAGTGTAATTTAGCGCTTACGGTGAATATTTGCCCTGTAAAATGTAAATGAAGTCTGTTTTGGCAGCATGTAGTTAACCACTCTGTCTGTCACACCCTGTCACACTCGTCTCAAGTATTAAAGAATTAACTTATATAAATGTTAATCTTGTTCCTGATGATCTTGTTTGCTTTTGTAGTTCATAAAGAAACATACAATATTAGTTCAGTTGGTTTCATAACCAGTTCAAAACTCTTCACAGGAGCTTTCACAAGTTTTCACACCTAAAACTGTAATCTGAAATAACCAACGTTAGGGTTCACACGATATGACGCCCCCAGCATAAAGCTTAAGTAAGGTTATATATCCCTTTTTAATGAAATGTCTCCAAATGACTCTTGGATTGATTAACATCAAATTTGGTGCATATACTGTATATCGCTGTTGTACAAAAATGTTCAGTGCCAATGGTTAACCCTCTCTGTATCATTATCATCATTTTAAAATTCCATTGAATTGAATACAATTACAATCAAGAGAAACTTTAGTTTATGACCAAATATCTGTAAAACTCATCATCACAAGTTTTTGTGTTATGCTAATATTTGTAAGAATGAATGAAAATGTTAGCATAGTAGCCCAACTTACAGTAGATGTTGTATAAAACACAGGCAACATGGTCAGTATGGTCATTTAGCAGTCTGATGAAAGCATTTGACTGAAACTCTTGGCTTTAAACTCTTACTCTTGTTGGATTAAGCATACAAATACCATTTTATGAAATGTTAACAAAACACTTGATTCCTTCATCCACATGTGAGGAGCGATCTGGAGCCGGTACACGTGGTGGGGATGCAAGTGTTTTTTCTCTAAGACTCTCCCTTGCAGCTCATCTTCTATAGGACGATGGAAATAAGCTACCTCAGCATGAGAGCTCAGCTCTGCACAGGGAATGGAGGTGCTTATAGCTTCTCTTCACACTCAGGTGCAAAACAAGACTATGACATGTTAGTGTTTGTGCCTTAATGTCATTAGCACAGTGTGCTTTGTGAATTAGACCTTAGACAGAGTAGGTAGCGGGAGCATATGATAATCAATTTGTGGTGCTAGCAGCCATGATCCATCCTTAAATGATTCCACTCATCGTATGTCACAAAACAATGGCATGTAACATACTGCTATTCACTGTAGTCAGCAGTAATGTGTTTACATTTGGAGATAATCAGTAGGAGTGTTTCGTGTGAGCACAGCACACATCTTATCATATGTTTTCCAACGTGGCTGCTAAAATTATCTTTTAAAGTAGTTTCCAAAGAAACTGCTGACATCCTAAAAGGAAGCAGTCTGAAATGAAGACCAGATATGCTGCATACAACGTTAGAGGCAAGACTTGTGGAAGGAATTTGATAGGAAGGAACTGACTGATTCACCTTCAACTTTTTTCTGATAGTTGCACGTGAAGGTCAAAGGAAGAGTGTCCAGGATGTATCCCTTGATCTCCCAAATGGTTTATTCCCATAGAGCTAAAGACGGGTAACACTATTTAACATGACTGCATTTGTTTCCCCCATGTAACTCCACGTTGAAGAAACACATTTGAAGGGGGTGTTAAGTTGTGCAAGAAGTTTACTTCTGAATTGTTCCCCCACTAGAGAGCTGGAGGAGACTGTTGGAAAACCCCCTCACTGGCGGGGTCCAGCCAGGATGACTTTCCCCTCGATTGACTTTCCCCAAACTGTGTGTTTCTACACCTCGGCTCAAGCCACATGGCATTCATTTACACCATCAGACAGAGAAATTCCGACTGTGGACTGTGACCAAACACATGTAGTCATGATGAAGGGGAAGCAACCCACGTCCAGGAATAAAAATGCAACATTACATGTGATTCGCTGAAATGCGTAAAGTAGGAATGCGTGCATAATGTAGCAGAAACAACAGGTGCACTTGAGGCGCAGGTTAGGATTTGACTCCAATGTGAAGTTTGACGACTTTCTGGCAGTTAATAAACCTACCACATGACATTGATTTAACCGCTGGGACAGTTGTTTGTTGCAAACTTAAAAAGATTTATGTGAGACTTAGTTTGTTCCAGCTGGATATGCTGTCCAGGAACCTGCTGAACAAATGATTTCTCACATTTCACCAGATAACTTTTCACTCCTTCAGGGTGGGCGTCACCGACTCATTAAATGGATTTTAACCTAAGTACAAGACTCTGGTTCTGGTTTGGTTCTGTCCTTTGAGGAACTGAACTTCCCTTTGAGAAGGACATTTTTCATCCAGATGAAACCATGCAACAATGTTTGAATTACTGAGTTTAGAAGGACATCATGGTTTTTTTCTCTCTATTTGTTTGGCATATTTATTTTTGTGTGATGCAACTGCTGGCCTAAACTTCCCTTAAGTTGATGAAGTTAAAGTTATCTGCTATAAATATGGCAAAGGGAAGCGGTTCCATTCCAGAAACAACAACTGCTGCTTAGGGTGAACTTTTGCCAAGATAAAGAGTATTTACTGCTGCCAAATTCTTCAGGGGAAGCCAAGCCCTATCAGTTGTTCTTCGTAGAAATCTGTTCAACTAATTTAGACATTCGAATAATGTCTTGTCAAACATAAGCTCACTGGGCTCTTATCCCTTTTCAGCCAACATTTCCTCTTCCTGATATTTTCTACTCTTGCCCCAAACAATTTTCACATTTGTAAAAACCTTATGGGTACTATACATGCAATACTGTGGTGCACTCTGCAGTATGCCTGCACAAATTCAAGAAATATAAAAAGAGGAATCTTTTTACGAGAATTGGTTTTGGCCAGAATTCTCCTGAGGTGATTCCATTCATTCTTTGCATGACAGAAGCGCAAACAAGGGACTGATAACTGAGCTTAATGTCTTCAATATGTAACTGCTGCAGCACAGATTGTAGGACAGTGAGCTAAAGGTTGACAGAGTGCTAAACAACATCGTAACACACTGAAAAATAAATAATTAAAGTAAAGTCAGCTCAACATGTTAACTTAATAATCATAAAAACAACCCCCAGATTTTAGATTGAAGCTGTCTTTTGATTGAAAGGAAATCACAGTTGCACACTCATAGCTTCTAACCTTAAAACACACTTCGCTAAATTCAGATATACAATAATTTGCAATCACAGAAATAAGGAAAAGTGAACAAAAGGTTACCGGTAAGCGTCCAAGCCCTTGTTTGGATTCCCGTTAGTCCTCTCATTGAGTGCCAGGGATCAATACTGTTCACAGCCCTGGGTTTACATAAAGTGAATTTGGGGAGAAGCGCACATGTTTCTCTGCTGAATGAAAGCCTGCCCTTTCCAGCAGCTCTCTCTCTCTCCGTCTCCTCTGTTCCTGTCCTTCTTCCTCTCCACACCCCCCCAACCCCTCACTCCGGACTTTTACTGGCCTGTAGCCACCCTCAATTACCATGGGTGGAAAGAGAAGCAGATAAGGAGAGCATGAAATAGTGAAGCAGACGGCCCATCTCTGACAGTCCAAAAGGAAAATAATAGTAATGAGCTCAGCCTCCTTCCAACTGTTGAGGGATTGGATCGCGTGAGGGTTGCTAGGGGCACAACAAGCACAGAACATGGAGTTTTTTTGGATGTAAAACAAGCACAAGATCAGCCAGAGAGTTAAAGTATACAGAGAGGCATATACTGCACTGCCCATTGTTCCTTCAGTATAACCTGAAATGCTCTGCAAGGTGTTACACGGCTCCTTCTCTGAATCCCAATTCATCACCCAAATGGACAGCAGATTAAGTTCTACAAGTCAGCAGTGAATAAGGTGTGAAGAGCTACTGCAGTGCCTTTTTTTCTGCACCAACAGCTGGAAGTCGTTAGAAATGCAGAACTGAATCTGCTATCTGTACAGCAGACAGAACTCAGTTTGATTCACTCTAGCAAGTTTTATCATGTTTGGACTCAGTGACAGCCTGCTCTGCATCAACTAACAACAGCCTCAGTATTTGCAGGTTCTCTTTAGAGATTAAAAAAGCTTGAACACACTACAACACAGTTTATTCAGTTGATATTTAAAAGCCGGCTGAGTGTATGAGGTCTGTGATTCCCAGTGTGTTAAAGATATCCACAAGAAAGTTCATAAGAAAAATGATTTTTTTTAAATTCCATTCATTAAAGAAGATCCTTTTCATTTCAAGCTTTAAAAAGAACATTTAAATAGTTATTTGCAGCCACAAGCTTTTACTTTCACTCAATACATCTTTTGAGTTATTGGTTCGGTTTTTAAGGAATCATTTATGACTTCTACTGGGGTTAAAGGTAAACTAATATAAGTTCTAGTAAATGGAATTATGAGGAACTTGTTTGTTTTGTGTTTTGTATGGCTCTTTGTATTAGTAGTTCATGGGTAAAATATTGTAGTTTTTACTGCTCTTATTGATGTGAGAGCCACAGCATTACCACTCTTTTCTTTTCTCAGTTATATTTTTTGGGCAATTTTACCTCCATTAGGAAGGACAGCAGTAGAGAGAAAGGAAATGTTGGGAGGAGAGAGAGTGGGGGATGACATGAAACAAAGGGCAGAGGTCAGAATCGAACCCACAGCCGCTGTGACGAGGACTGTAGCCTCTGTACATGGGGTGTAAAATACCACGATCCAGCGCCTCACGACCAGTCCTTCCTTCAAAAACTAAGATTGAACAGACAATATGTGGTCCTCTTGTAAAATCCTGCATCGTTATGATCTAAAATAGGGATGAGACTAAAAATCGCCACAGCAATATATCGTTGTCCTGACTCTTGTGATACAAACAGGATAGACTGGTATCGAATAACGATATTTCTATTTAAAAAAAATCAATCTAAACAAATTTCTCTGGCAATTTGACTCACCATCTAACCACTTAATGACCAAAAGTCGCTGTTATGACATGAATGAGAGTGTTATGAGTGATAAGAGGTGGAACTGAGACCAAATTTGCAGGGACTGAATTCATAAATCCTGCACTTTGTGCATCAGAAATCATGATGTATCATGATACATGATTGTCTTTTAATGTATTAAGCATCGCAGAATCGCTGAGTCATCACGTTGTTGTTGTTATCTTGGGCCACATATCATCATATCTAGAGTTATACTGCCATCACCCCAGATCTACAATGTACTGATTTACCAACAATAAAATAGTACTCTTTAACAAAAAAACATGTAAGTGACAATTACTTTTACTCTTTTTATTCTTGTTTCTTTTTTGTTGCTAATAGTTTCACACCAAAACATCCTACTTTGCTTTGGAGGTTTTTTACTCAATGGGTACTCCTATAAGACCTCATCCTTTGCTGAAATTGAGCAGCAGAGTTTCCCTCATGGTGTCCTGGTTGACCCTGAGCCTCAGCACACTCTGCTGGATCCCACAGGAAAATACTGTGTTGGAATAAGAAGCCTGGGAGGGGCCAACCTGCCGCTGAGAGTAGACTTTCCAATGCTGAGTAATTTTCTGTCTCTGTTGACTGTCCTCTGGTTTGTAACCAACACGAGGTGCACTTGAAGGAAAACACGGGACAGAAAATCTGTGTTCTCATTGTTTTTTCCTACCAGAGGCCACTTTCGTTGTCTTCTGAGGCCTGAACATTCATCAATATGACTGGACTGTGGTCAAATTTCCAAATATGACATCGATTACATATAGCAGAGAACGAGATTACATAATAAATATGACAGACCTGACAAAGCCATAGCCTTAAGAGAACAGGATGCATTGTATTAATAATATGTTACATTTGATATTAAATATATAATTTAAAGTGCACCAAAAGAGAACTTAACCAAATCAGATGTTAAAATCAGTTGTTCTAAGGTTGTCAAAACTGCCATCCCTTTTTAATATGCATTTCAAAAGACATGAAAAATGCAATCTCTGTTATTTAAGGATCCATAGTATCAAAAAGCATGGACGCTTATAAAAAGCTCTAACCTAAATTTAACCAAAAACGCTGCAAACAAATGACAGAGAGCACTGACAGTGTGCAGGAGTTTGCTTTCAATTTTTGGTCATTAAAAACAATATTGGGAGACTAGGACTTCTTTTTTGTTTCTGTAATATAAAACATGTCTGAACATGGTTTGATATTGAAAATGTTGGTATTGTAATACCTCTAGTTGTTACAGGATGACGTACATTGAACCATTTTTGATGATAGGGAGAATTTAATTCTTCCGGACTAGAGAAAATTCAGGATCTTATGTCAATTTAAGGCAAAAGTTGAAATAATTTAGAATTTTGTAATTTGCATTTTCCAATTAATGAAAGTGGTGTACAACTTGAGCAAAAAGAGCTAATGTACATATTTAACAATAATCTTTTATCAAGTACATGAGCTGAGTTTAATGTGAACTTTACATCATATCAAGCACAATCTATGCTCCTTTATGTGTCTTCATTTGCTCCTAAACTCTTAAATACAGCAATAGTCTGAAACAGGGTTCTCCTTTCTTTGTGTTCTGTGATCAAATACAAAGTGTTCTCGTCTTCTCAGGCTGCAGATTTATGAGCTCTGTGCAGAGTTTTTCCTTCTAAGTCTGTTTTATTTGATGTATAACTATTCAGCTCGAAACAGGAGGGGGAGAAAACACTATTAGGATTTGCCAATGATTTTAAAAGTCTTACAACAACCATTGCGAAGCAGAATGAAGATTTCTAGTTTGATATCAAGGTTGTCCTAATCTAACCCTTTAGCTTTGTTTAATAAGCCATTGTGGAGGTATCAAAGCCCTGAATCTGAAGCCAACAGTCGAAGGGGAAATCTGTCATCATGCTAGTTTGTGCCTACTACATGTATGTATGTGACTGCTGTAAAACACTTAAACTCGTAGGGTATAAAAGGCAATATAATGTCTTTTAAATATTCTCATCAAGGAGGTAGATGCAGATTATAAAGTCAGTACAGACGTTTTTTTTAGCTTTTCAGAGAAATGCTGTTTCATACTTCAAATTCACAAAACACAAGGCCATATTTTATAACTTCTTTTTGACAGAAGATTTGCCTTCAGGCGGGAAAATCAAAGATGCTCTAAAATTAGATAAAAGTTCTTTTTTAAAATGGCTATTCACAAGTGTTAGTTAGTCTTATAAGTTACCAACTGTTCCCATGACACGGCCTCTCGATGTCAGCCAAATGGAATAAAGAAGGGATTCTTGCCTTGCCCTTTTTAGTCTTTTTCATCTGGGGGTAATGGCCGTTAGTCGGAGCCTCCAGTGTAGCCAGTTGGATGTCCAAATAACTGATAAGAGATGCAGGCCAGAACTTCATTCTCAATGTGCTGAGTAAAGTAAGGAGACTTTGAACTTTCACTATCAACGCTTGATGCAGGAATGGGTTGTGATTTACAGGCCACATCCACTACAGGATAGTTATATCTACTTGGATGCACATATGGGTTTGAATAGATTATTAAAAGCCCAGTTTTGATTTGAAGTGGGCAGATGGGTTCCTAGATTGCACTTTGGTCAATACATTTCCCCTCTTTTGCTGCCATGCGGTCTGTTTTTCTGCATACAACCAAGGCAACATGAGTCAATTCCATTCGAACAAAAAATAGACTACACTCATGCTTTAAATATGCTGAATGAATTAAATGCTAAAAATAAACCAGCATTGGATTACATAAATGAGGAAATTGTTCCTCCGAATCCCGAAGAACCAAACGAACCAGAAAACGTTTGTTTATATCATTCACCCAGCCTGACACATCTTTTTCTGCCAACGTGTTTGAATGGGAATATGTTGGAAATTCGTTTCAGGACAGTTGATGAAATCTTTAGTTGGACCTTACAACAGCGGCACACTGCTCACTTTCACTTCTACCAAACACAATTACCTATTTTACAACTTACATCAACTAACATTCTCACTGTCTGGCAGTCAATCTGAAACTTTTTTTTCAACAACTGCCTGAGGACAGGACGAAGCCCCTCTCTTCAATAACCTCTGAATGTGTGCCATGGCTTTGAAGCTTGGCCGTACCGGGTCGTTTTAATCAGCTCACCAGCGTTTTAAGCTTGCATTTATCATCATCACTTGTTTGGTTTGCCACAGAGATAAATAGTGATCATGAATCAAGTGTCTGAGCCCAGAATGAAAATTCAGAGGATAATCGTGGATGAGTAATAGTTTCCATGACAGAAGTGGCCGCAGAATCCAGAGCAGCATGGCACACACGATGCTGCCGTCACAGAGGGGATGGACGAGGAAGAGCTACAGTCAACGAGCTTCTTAGAGGAAACAAATGTGAGCCAATAATGTCCCTTGAAGAGCCACATGCAGAGATCCCTATGAGTCTTCCCTTTTAGAAGTGTTTATCCATTAGAATAACTCTGGTAAACACTAAATCATTGTCTCTCTCAACTTGACGAGCCCTTTGTCCCCCTTTGTCCACAAAGCAGGGAGCTGCCCGTGACACAGCACAGCCCAACTACAGCTGGACAGAAGCGATATCTAAAACCCTCAGGCAATGTCCAGTCTCCATTCTGCTAGACCATGCAGCTTTTTACACTCCGTACAGACTGTGTTGCTGTGAAGAATCCGTGTACCAACAGCATGTTCTGAGCCTCCATGTGGTGAACATTGCTGGTTGTGTCATTGTTTGTGTTCGTCACTACAACAACTGCTACAAAAAAATAATCACTGTTTATTAGGTATTTAACTTTTCAAGTTTACAGCTTAGCTCAAGCATGGCAACTAATGAAACATAATTAGGATGTCAAAGCACTAAAATTGTAACCAGAAATCCTTACTGTTGGGATCTCCAAACTTTTAAATGGACGTCTAACTTGAAAGAAAACTGCATTGCTAACTCTGGTAGCATCGCCTGACAAGAGAGTCTCAATCTACATTTTTTTTGCCAAGAAAAAAGGTGTGACAGATACATATTTGGCAAAAAATTGCCAAGAAATAGTCTTCAAAAGAAAATCGTGTAATTCCTTAGCAGCATACTTAAGTAAGCCTTGGAACCAGACAAATCCAAGAGCACATTTTTGGCTCAACTCTCAACCATTAATGAGTAATTTTTAAGATAATGATGACCCCCCTAACCCTAACACTTTTCTTTTTTAAAAAAGATTTGTTTTTCTGGCTTTATGTGCCTTAATTGTAGAGACAGGACAGTGGATAGAGTCGGAAATTAGCAACAGCGGGGGTTTTTAGATAAGGTTTTAGACTATTTGCATCTTGGTCTCGCATTCTGGGGAACACCATCGCATCTTCCATCTCTGGTTTTAAATCTTGGGCCAATATTAAGGATTGCATCCTGTCTATCGTTTGTGCAGTACTTTTTCAAAGAAGCGAAAAACAAGAGTATGATCAATCATCTCGAAAGTGATCCAACCACAAAAATGTTCCTTATCTTCAGAGGAATTACTGTTCTTAATGTGGCAATGTGGAATGTGCCTGCTCAACCCTGGTGCCTTTTTGTTTGTGTATTTCTAATAATGGGACATGTTTCTAGGGGGAGAAATAAAAGATATATGCATGCCTCTAATATTTTTCTACTGTTGCCTTTTAATATGCTATTTGTCTCATTTGGCTTTAAGCGTATTACAAAATCCTCTGAGAGAAAAACAATTTAAAAAAACAAGATGATGTGTGTCATACCTTTGGCAGAAATGTCCTTGTCGGCTCCTCGAGACCGAGCGATCATCTCCTCGCCACGCTCCTTCAGTGTCCCATAAAACGGCTGCAGCTTCTCCAGATCCACAGAGAAGGACTTATTCTCTGTAATCTGCTCCTTGATCTTGTCCAGCCTTGGAACCAGACAAATCCAAGAGCACATGTTTTTGGCTTAGTCAGGTGCTTCTGGTAGCACTCTGGCTCAGTCAGATTGCCATCCAACATTGTGCAGATCTGGCCAATCTCAACCCTTAATGAATCATTTTTAAGATAATGACGATTCATTTTTTCACTTTTTTTTTAAAGATTTGTTTTTCTGGCTTTATGTGTCTTAATTGAGTCAGAAATTAGTGACAGTGGGGTTTTTTAGATAAGGTTTAAGAGTATTTGCATCTTGGTCTCACATTCTTGGGAACACCATCGCATCTTTCATCTCTGGTTTTAAATCTTGGGCCAATATTAAGGATTGCATCCTGTCTATCGTTTGTGCAGTACTTCTTCAAAGAAGCGAAAAACAAGAGTATGATCAATCATCTCGAAAGTGATCCAACCACAAAAATGTTCCTTATCTTCAGAGGAATGCCAATGAACCAGCCAGCGTGCCTTTGGAGCTATTCTCAAATGACATTGTACTGATCAGATAAATTACATAATATAATATAAAGAGTCACTTTGTTGGTGTTTTCCACCCAGAAGATTGTATCTAAAAAAAGTTCCCTCTTTTTTGCCTTGGAAATAATCTTTCTCAATTTTCTCAAGTATTCCAGTATTTTTTTAACCCTGGCCTTTTTACACATTAAGAGGTTAAGATGACTAATAAAAAGGAAGTTCAACCGCAGGCAGCTGTAGTCATTAACTGCGGATATACAAAGTCTTGGGAACTGTACCCATTGAAAGAACATCAACTTAAAGTGCTTGTCTGTCAGGCTGCGGCACACTTTATACATTCACAACACACTGCTTTCTTTGACTCTGACTCACATTTCCACCATCGCCATTCTGCCTAAACCTCACCTCAACCTCAGGTTTTTAGAGTAAAAATTCTGGTCTTGAAAGACTAATTTCTCCATGGGATTCTTTTCATACAATACACTACAGTACAATACCGTAAAAACAATCTGAACCTATAAGTTACATTTGAACCCCACATAATTTAGAAAAAAGGACCAAGGTTTAAACAAACAAAAAATTGTTTAATTGTTTAATTTCTAGCTCTGTCCATAAGTTAGTTTAGAAATGAAGAAGCCTAGCCCTAGACCATTTTTTACCTTTTTCTTGTTATTTATTCGTACAAGATGGCCTCACAAATTCATTTAACTAGTAAACGATCTTACCTCACTCTGTAACCCTCGGGTATGTGTGGTGAATAGAACCTGCTGCTCTGCAGGTGATTAGAGAGAAGGAGTTGCTCCAGTACGTCCCTCTTGTTAAAACATTGATGTACAATGTCTTGTGTGTTTTGTGTGTGTGTGTGTTTGTGTGTGTGTGTTTGTGTGTGTGTATATATGATATAAACCAACAAGGCACAATTGACCAAATGTATACATTAACTTTATATTAATATATAACAAAACCAAATGTAAAAAGGGACATGTATTTCAGTAAAGGGAACCTACTTGCATTTGATGGATTGGCTTTGTTATGACTTAAAAACATTCATTTTATTATCACCTATTAAAACTACAAAGCCTAGACTTGGACGTGCCCCTCAAAGACTTGAGACTTGACTTGGACTCTGGACTTTGGAGCCAAGAATTCTGTGCAATGACCCTGATAGTAAAAAAAAAAACATCAATATTTTTGGATTTTTATTATAAAGAACAGATGTTTAAAAGACAGCGTCGACTCAGTTTAAATATAGCGGCCTTTTTGTACAAATATTTGTTACCACTATCTTTTTCAGTCATACTGGTGTTGTTCTCTTGAGGTGAGAATGTTCCCAGGAGTTCAGTTTGGATGCATATTTACATGAAAATGTCAATTTATTTCAACAAAAACATATTAACAAAAAAAACATCTGCCATGTTTTCCTCCTCACTATTTGATAAACTGTCCACATAGACTCTTTTGCATTCCTCTACTGGCGATTCCTCAACCTCCGCGGTGCTGGCTGAGTCGTCTGGCTGATGGATTCCAGCTGAGCACACCCAGAGGTGACACAAACACCTGGAGGTCCTCGGAGACCTGGGTGGCCCCTGAGGCCCGGTCGGCCTACGTGTCCCCTCTCACCCTGTTTTCCTGGCTGCCCGTTAAAGGCTCTGCCCAGACGTCCACGCTGACCTGTGTTCCAGACAAAAACATGCTTTAGTCTTCTGGATTGTTTGTCTGCTCAGTAAGCTGAGTAAGACAGCCTTTCACAGTTTCCAAGAACAGAGAATTACACAGAAAAATAATTTCCTTTTTGGCAAATATCACACTCCTTTTACTATAACACTTCTCCTCTCACTGTCCTGGGATTTCAAGTACACACTCAGCTGATACTAGTTTGTAAAAAATGATGTGGCAGGTCCAGATGTTCTCATCAGTTACTGTAATGCCTCATTTTTAAGTCATCAAGCATCATTAGGTATTGAAGATGAATTTACCCTTTGGTCCATGATCTCCAGTGTAGCCAGTTAGGCCATGACCCTTGGCCCCCTTGTCACCCTGCTCTCCTCTATCACCTGCAACACAGAAATACACAGAAATACATACACACACATAGGATTAAAAGCAGACAGGTCAAAAATAATTCCCCCAGGACTGCAGTCCACTTTGTACATGTTGATCATACACCATATGTGTTACTGACATCATTATTAAAAGATGTTTAAACACCTTGTAAATATTCCTCATTTCCATTGACATGGCACAGGAATGTAGCGTTAGTGTGACATCATGCTCAGGCCCCCAACCATCACTAAGAGCTTAGTATGTATGTTAGTCTATAAGTTTAACATTACTACAGAAGAAGACAGCGGATAGTGGAGGAACCAGGGGCGAGAGAGTGGAGGGAATCACATGCTGCAAAGTGCTGAAGGTCAAAGTCCAATACGGGGCGTCCAGCTTCAAGGACTATGGTCTGTGTATTTGGGGGATAGCGCTAGAACTGCTAGGCTAGGCTAGGCTAGGCTACATGGCGCCCCAAGGCAGATTTTCTGATTGAAAATGTTTCGTAATGTCCAAGCTTAGGTAGCGATAACCCACTGATGACATCATGATGACATCACCATCATCGATTTTCACTGCAGAACTCGTAATTAAAGTAAGAAAATAAACTGTTGAAGTCATGCTTGAGTTAATGTTTAGCTTCATTAAAATAAATCAAAGAACTACTAAGTGAAAAAGGGAGCCATAAACACGTCTCCAAATAAACAGTAATGTTGCTAAATGTCAGTTGGAAGTGCAAATAAGCTACTGATTGCCAGCACGTTCACAACAGCAACTTTACAAGGTGATTATACGTAAGTGATGTGTTTACAGCTTGCTGTTCGGCCCTCTGCCCCCAAAAAATCAGCTCGTCTGAATTCTTTTTCCACTACTGGTTACTCTTACAACAAGCATCAATGAGTTATAGTGTTGGTGTTCTTGTTCAATATAGTCATAGAAATAAAATCATCCGTCAAATTAGTTTTTTTCCCACACCTGTGTCTCCTTGTCGGCCTGGGTCTCCAGCTTCTCCATAGAAGCCCTGAAGTCCCACTTCTCCAACAACACCATCGTTACCGGGGTCGCCCTGACAACAGCATCAATAGGAAAATAAATCATTAGTCTCCTTGTTTTCAATGTTGTGCTCTTCAAGTCATGCCTTAATGTTGTTTGACCAGCTTTGTGCACAAACCTGAAGAGATCTACTCTGCTGGTCATGTGACACGTTGTTGTGAAAACATGCTACAGTACTGGTTCATCCCTGTTCTCAATTTAGCATTGAGCCCCACCACATGAGGCATACCCACCATAATCTAATATAGTGGTACGTTTGAATATAGTCACGGCTTCAAGAGCATTTATCAGGCTGATAGTCGCTGTGATTAAAGGAGTTGTGCAACATGAATTGGTTCTGAACTGTATAATAATGTGGAAAAGGCTTTTCAATCCAAGGACAGCCTCAAGTCTCTCCAAAAAACCCCGTTCAACACAGACCAAGTGTCTAGTCTGTGACTCCTTATTTGTCCTCATGGAGACGTGGAAAATCGTAATGTTTTCATTGCAAGTTTCTTCTGCCAAACACTCCAGCTCTCGTAGTCCGGTCCAGACCCTCGCAATGTGTTTGCATTTTACTCGCCCGGGGAGCCAAATAACGAACAATGTATGGAGCGTGTGCTGCACTCTGGCAGCCTGTTAGCTGAAGGTCTGCAGGACCTTAGACAGCAACACCACATCAGTTATTTAGTGAAAAATAAAAAACGTTGCAATCTTTTTCCAGCTTGAACAATGAACATCGTATCTATAAATCACTCACCGGAGGTCCGGGGGGTCCTTTCTGTCCGGAGGGACCAGGGGCACCCATGGGCACGTCCCCATACAGAGGACACACTGCAGCGCACGTCCTCTTCACTGAGTTGGCAAAGGTGGACATCTGCTCCATGACCACTTTCTTACAAACCTCGATCACGTGTTGAGCGGGGAGAGTCGGGCCCTGTGTAAGAAAATCATTACCACATCCATCACTGGAAGTGACCCAACGGAGGGACATGTCGTATGGAACATTGCAGAACACGGTACGCTGAAGCAACGGCTGCTGCTCAGAGAGAGACGCGATGAACACATGGAGCCAAAAATATTTCCTGAAGGCTCATTATGGATTTATAGCCACACTAAATGAAACCCTTGCTGTGAGTCATTATTAGCTATGGGCTAATGTGTAACTCTTTAAATGTGTTCTTCCCACCAAAGCTGTCAGCAAACGCTTTAAGTGTGTCAGTCAGTTAAGCCGTTACTGAAAATGATTACGCTGCTGTTTCTGCGCCATCATTAGCAGATAGATGAAGTGCCAAATGTAGTAGAGGCCATTACAGTGTACACTCATACTGTACTCTGCTGTAGTATTGCAACACTTGCTGTATCAGCCAAAAAAGCTAAAGACTGAAAGGCTGATATTCTACTTACTGGTGGACCCGGAGGCCCCTGGAAGCCATCTGGTCCTCCTTCACCTCGAACTCCTTTGACACCGACAGTACCTGAACGTCCAGGTGGGCCCGCCGGCCCGCGCTTCCCCCGTCCTCCCAGAGGACCCTGCTCGCCCCTGTCTCCAACCTACAGAGCAGGTTAACAACATGAGCAGAAGTGGAGGCAGAACCCGAGCCAGTTCATCCATCAGAATACATTTACATATTGGTTTTCCATGAACACAAAGTTTAAGAAAACACATTTTATAATGTCAGATGAAAATTAAACATGAAACAAAGTAACTACTCTTATGTATTGTTGATAAAAAAAACAACTAGAAGTAAAACACAAGTATTTTTGGGCATGGACAAATGTAAGTTTAGAAATGTACAAAGACCTGCATTTGAAATATAAGACACAAATTCTTAAAGGAACTGGTTTCTCCAATCAGGATCATAAATCATGATTGCAGAGAACAACAGGGAAATGTGCAATATTCATTTTGGGTGATTTGTGGGTGGTTCTGCACTCATTTCATATACAGATGCTAAACATAAGTGTGGAATGTCTCTTGTTGGACTGATATCAGGTTTTCAGACAGTTTGGTTTCTAAACAGTGAACGTGACAAACGCAACCTATAGCGTAAGGAAACGATCACTTGTAGGGCGGCTCCTTAAGACCCTACTTAGAGATCAACGCTCCTGTGAGAAAGTGAGCAGATTTTTATTTGGTTATGAAACAGAATTAAATGAATATTGATGCCTCTGTATGATTTCTGTATCGTTATATTTTTCACGCCTGAAACTGCTGCAAAGGGGCAAAGTGTTTGACAACGTGATAACAACTAGAGAGAGGTACGATTGGTTGTTAAGAGAAAGCAGGATGAACATAACATAAACATGTACAGACAGTGTCATCAGCTGAGAGTTAAGAGGTACCGCTTTGTCCACAGGGGGCGCCAAAATCACACGTTTTTAATCAAAAAGTTTTGTATTTTTACCTTGCTCATGTCTAAGTCTGCAGACATAATTCACATAAATGGGATGTATCAAGACATGTGAGTGGTAGTGTGTTACTCGTAGTGGATTGATGTTAGAATGGAAACATTATATAAACATATCAGAGTCACAGCTCACCTTCCCTTGTGGCCCTTTGCCTCCTTTTTCTCCCTTTAACAAGAGAAGAGTCACAGTAAGAAAAAAAACAACAACTCGGATGAAGGATTGATCCCATCTGATGAGAAGTTCAAGCTGTACCTGCTCAGCTTTGACTCCTTGAATTCCCTGGATTCCAGTGTTACCCTGCACAAGGCAAATGAAAAAAAAAACACTGTTTATTGGATTGTAAATATTTAATATATCAGGATTTAGAGCTTCACTTCACAGACCTGCTGAACATCTACAGATCCTGAATAGTGTGGTTGCATTGATTCTATTTGACTTCCTTCCCTTGGTGGTGTAAAGTGGTAATTTAGCTGTCATTGCTAGTGGGTAATGGATGAGGATGTATTTACCTTGGGTCCTTGTTTTCCAGGCACACCCACATGTCCCTGCGAAGACATGACGAGGTTTAATGGCTTGAAGAAAATGAACTAGTGTTAGGAGAAGCCCTGAAAAATCATCTGGAGCACTTACAGTAGGTCCCGGTGGGCCGATAAATCCGGGTCGTCCTGGCTTCCCTGCAGAACCCTTGTAACCTCTTGGGCCCTCGAGAATAAAACATTTATTAAACCGACCTAAAGGACTGCTTTATACTTTGACGTTTTTCTTTTAAGATGGTGAACTACTTTACATAGGAAATGCACGATGAGCTTGTCTTCAGTGACTGAAAAAGTGACTTACAGTTCGGCCTTGTGGACCCATTTCTCCTGCTGGCCCAAGGGTGCCTTTCTCCCCCTGTAAAACAGACAAACCACAACAGATAAATCAGCCAAAAAACAACTTAATTGCACGATAATATCCAAAACAAAACAATATGAGACAGCTACCTTTGCTCCACTTTTCCCGAGTTTTCCACTGAGACCTTGTGGTCCTTGATAAGCCTGCGAGAAATACATCAAACTTACGATCATAAAAGTGCACTTCTTCTAAAATCATTTCAGATGTCATTGTCTGCAGAGGATAATACCTCTAATCCTGCATCGCCATCTCTCCCATATATGCCTGGATCTCCAACAATGCCCTGGGGAAACACAAGCATTAGTAGAAAACAGACACATTAAATATGTAAATATGTGTGCACTCAGGTGTGAGACGCTCCGTGTGAATCATCACCTTTGGACCGATGGTGCCAGCTCCACCCACAGGTCCTTGGATCCCCTATATTTCACACGTTCAGACAAAAGACACAGCTATCAAACTTCAAAATATTGCCTTTTTTTTATGACATAATCATAATTTTTCATATTTTTACGTTTAATTTGTGATACATACAGGCTTCCCTTTCTCTCCAGCAGTGCCCCTCTCTCCAGGATCCCCAACAATACCCTGACAAATCATCATACGGAGCGACATAAGTTAAGACTTAAACATCACATGGAACACATTCAATTCCAAAAAGCAACATAGGACATCAAAGAAGCCTTTGTTTTCTATACAATTGAGACGGTTATCGCTGTGGTTGAGGCTCTTGTTTCAATGACTCACCGGCTGATGTTGATGTAGCTCAGGCCTTCAGGTCTCAGCCAGAATCGTCCACATGAACTAATATTGTTTATGGAGACGGCACATAGGCCAAACACAGAGCTCTGTCCCAGTGTTTTACCACATTTGAAATGATTTACTGGCTCTCTGTACTCAAATAAGAGGATTTTGAAGGAAGTTGACAAAGAATTAAGACCGTCTACTTCAGGATATTTAGTAGTAAGGCTGTCAGAATTTTCGACACTTTGATACTTTTTTTGATATAATGCGTTTTAAAGATATATTCTCCATTAATTTAATGATCTGTATAGAATCTAAAAGTACCGATGCTTAAAAACTACAGAAGAGAGAGAGCACTGGCTCAATAGCACGAATACATTAGAAGTGTTTCCAACGTATTTGTGCACTTTAAACAGTGTGCAGGAGTTTTCATTTTGGGGAAATTTAAAACAGGAATGACACAAAACTTACACAGAATTGGATGACTTAAACTTGTTAACATTTTGATGGCGTCGTATCATAGTTAAAAAAATATGTTAGCATGACAATCCTATTCAGCAGGGAATCCCCCCAACCGCTCACCTGCTTTCCTCTGGATCCAGTACTCCCTTCTGCCCCAGTGGTCCCTTTTTCACCCTAGAAAAATCAAAGCTTGATGGAATTAAATCCTGCATAGAGATAAACAGATGACAAAAGACGGTGGAAACACGAGTACCTTGACTCCTTGAAACCCAGGAATCCCTTCATATCCCCTCTCGCCTTTAGGGCCCTTCAAGGAGGTCACAGTGTTAGTGATACAGTAATTGCATAATGACTTGCAAAAAAGGGCTTACCGCGGAGGCTAAAAGTTTAGCTTACAACTTCTCCTGGTTCCCCAGTCTCTCCGATGTATCCAGGTGGCCCCCGAACTCCCTTTAATTAGAGTCAAATGTCGACATGAAACCTTCTGGGTTATCTATAAAGTTATACAACTTGAGCTACGAACTGCACAGGAATCCAATGAAAAGTCAATAACTGGCAGCAGATTACCTAATTAAACAGCCAGTTAAAGCCTGAACTCATGTGGCGGAGTTTACCTTGAAGCCTGCAGCCCCGTTTAATCCTTTCAGCCCCTTCGGACCTCTTTCTCCCTGGTAATACACAGCTCATTAATACAGATTTGTAACATTTCAGAGGAAAAAGATAATGATGAATCTGAGTGTGATGAGTTACCACTTGGCCCCAGAGTCCTCTCATTCCTTTTTCGCCTTTGATTCCCTGTTCACCCTGAGGACATGAGAGTGTGTGTGAGAGGTTTCATTCATGTGTCTTGAAAACGAGCCAAACTGAACCCTGATAGCAAATCTTACCTTCAGGCCTGTCTCCCCCAGGTTGCCGTAGTCTCCTGTGTTTCCCCTGATCCCCTGCAAAACAAGATTCCCTTAATTGCAAGCTAGACTTTGTACCCCGAGGCTGGTTGTTTGTAAACGGACCAGTGTGAGAAATGGAGTATTACATGTGAACATCATTAACTATTCCCACTGTGAGAAAGTCACTAATCATAACTTTACAGAGACTAAACTTTGGATGCACCAGGCAGAGAAACAGTTTACTCATAAACATAACTAATCTCCAAATAAAGATCAGAAAGCAGCTGTTGATGTGTCTGAAGTCATAGCAGCAAAGCAGATATTGAATAGAGACATAAAAATGTTTTTTTTTTTGTCAAACACACTCACATGCTTTATAGCACCATGTCAGACGCACTCTCGAGGTCGCACCATAAATATTAAACTTGAGGCCAGAGGGGGTTAGCTTAGCTTAGCTTAGCATATAGACTAAAAAAAGGGGGAAACGTAAGGTCTGACTGTAAATGAGATAACAAAATATCTTCTTAAAATTCAGGAATGGCAGGGGGAAAATACTGCTAAAGATTACGTGTTTGACAATTAGTAATGATGAGTTAATTATAAGAGCTTTACTTAAATTTGAAGAGAGTTAAAGGTACAATATGAGACATTTTAAACATCAAACCAACCATTTTTAGGTGCTATTAAAGCTCTAGCCTAACTAAATGTTGGATGTAATAACTTTCTCATAAGTCGAACTCTCTCTGTCTTTGTCGTTCTCAGCTCTGTGTTCATATTGATGTGACGGCCTTCCCTCAGGTTGTTTATGCCGCTCAGAGGCTGGAACATGTTTCTTTCACTTGAACCCAACCTCGTCCAACCTTTAGCCCTGCTACCATGTGGGAGGAAGCGAGACAGCTCCCCCACTCAGGCATGCTGTTGGTAGAGGCATAATGGGAGGGAGTACAATTCAAGAAAAAACAACAATAAAACTTTGGGCTACATATCTGAATAGAGACCAGTCATAGAAACGGCTTCACATAGTCAGAACACTAAGGGAGGGGTTAAGGGAGGAGGGGAAGTGGTGCACTCAGGGACAGCTTCGTCTTGGCTTGAGAGACTGGTGCTAAAGTGGGACTGATATTGGACCTCTACTCTGAAAGTCTCATATTATACCTTAAAGCTGAGCTAACAAACATCTGGCTGTAGCGTCATATGATAGACATTTCTTCAACTTTCCCAAGACAAAAGGGATAACCCAAAAAGTTGCATTTCTTTTATATGAAGCTGCATCCAGCAGGGAGTTAGCCTAGCATTAAGACTGAAAACAGGGGAAACAGCTAGCCTAGCTCTGTTTGAAGAGAGCCAATCAGAACCTCTAAATCTCACTTATACTTATGCATGCCTTTGTTTAGTGTGTAGAAAAAAACCCAATTGGTGCATTGCAGCGAGCCTGAGAGGAGCTATTAACTTTATATTTGAAATTTATAGCCGACAAATCCGGGCTAGTAAGTTAACGTCGACAAGGAGTTATCTAGAATGATCTGAAATATCTTTTACGAGAGACACCTGGGCTAGCTGTGCACAATATATAGCTTGATTTTCTCCCACTGCTGTAAATCTTTATGTTAACCGTCTCCTGGCTTAAGCTTTATATTTCCTACTCAGATATGAGAGTGGTACTGATATGTTAATCTAACTCTCTTCAACAATGGAATAGGGTGTAACTCCCAAAGTCTTCTCTTTAACATAAAAAGAAAAAGAGTTAACATTTTGAACATGCTATAAATGTCACATTGGTGGAAAATATACACATGCATATTCAGCAGGATTTAGGAAACATTAGTCATAAAGGCAACATAATGGAGGCGTATTGTTTGCACAGATGTTGACTTCCTCAGTAGTAAAAGTGTTTTCCATTTGGCTGTGTTTCCCTGAATCAACAAACAGATTGAGAAAGGCCACGGTGCCTTTGTGTTAGAAGTTTATTTGACCATCTCACCTAACACTTTTGAGCAAAGTCAGCTGGGCGCAGGTTAACCTCAAAGATGGCCGACAGAGCGGCCAAAGGCATGACCATGAACTTTACAACATTTTTTTAAGGCGGTATAGCTCCGAGAAGCATTGGGACCACCCACCACCTGAGATGGACAGTTCATATATCTGTGCCAGGAAATGCCCTCGTTGAATGCCAGCAGGGGAGGAGATAAACATGCTGGGGCATGTTGATTCACAAGCTGGCAAGAGGTCAAAACTCTAACGACTCACACAAGACAGATGTTTACTCCCAGATGAGCTACAGCTGCAATTCAGGACGTCAATATGTAGCATGCACAGCTCTGGAAATGTGCTTTAAATGTTAGAATACATGTGTTTGCAGGGGCAGCAAAGGGGGGGGGGGGATTTCCTTGAATGCAAGGGGGATGTTAAATGCAACACCGTCACATTTGTTTAGAAAGAACCTCCCTCATTGAAACATATGTTCTCCGGACAGTTGTGCAAAGACTCGCAGATCTGATCCAACAGAACAGTAACAGTTAAGCGTCAAAGAATTAACAAGTCATAAATTTAAAGTGGAAATAATCACGCCTGCACTGCAGCTCCCCGAAGGATACAAAATGTGAGTGTATTTGCTGAAGCCTATTTAACAGGCTCCTGATAACTGAACATCGTGTTCATTTAATACTCTCCAAACTTGTCTTTTCTTTCACCGTTTGGATTGTGAACTAGTTTGACTTAACCGCCAACTGAAAACATTTAAGAAAGAAAACATGGCAAACATTTAACAGAATAGTTCAGAACAGTAATGCCACTTACTACCAGACACTTGGAGGGTTATTGCTCAACGGCCTTGTTTTCCCTGTGTGTGTGGGATTCATTAAGTTTGGCTCAGTTTCTTCCAAATGGAATTGCAAAACCATTAAAAAAAATCCTGTGATCGTTTGCCAGATTCTCTTGAATCCTATATTCTATTCCTGTGTTTAAACATGCAAATGGATATTTCAGAACTACAAATACAAATTTATTGTCCAATGTGTATCAGTACATGTTTATCTTGGCTTCCCCCCTGAATCTTTTGCAAAGCGGACATGAGTTTGCAGACTCTGAATGGAGCCCCTATGTTTACTATCGCTAAGCGCTTCTGCTTCCAGATCTGTTTCCATCCTGTCGTGTCTCAGCTGTACTTCTGTTGCCATTTTCCACAGCTTCGCCGTTGTCTCACAAGGTTTTACAATGTCACCCACAGATCGGTTTAACTCTTTCTTGTGCTGCAACAGGAAGGCCATATTCCTGCTTCACTAGAATATGCAATTATCCCTTGTCACATGAGATTAGGAATGGAGTTTTTCCTGTAACAGTATCTGCCTCAAAAGTATTGTTGGTCATCTGCTAGTACAACGATCAATATACTGACCCTATGTCAAATGTCTTGGTCGATGAAAAATTGTACTCGGTTCTTGGTAATTTATCACATGACCAAAATGAACAACAATAATATAGTGCCTGGGTCTCCAACATGAGTCTCAATAGCAGCTTTTCAGTAGATTGCCTAGAGGTTTACAGATGGTGTACAAAAGTCCTACTGCAATAAATGCCCCTTCAAAGCATCTCGCCAGTCTGAATTCAATCAAATCATAGATTGTATCAACCTTGGACGTAGCCTCAATGATGTCACCCTCTGGGTTCTGAAGGGGAGTTTTGAAGCCCAACACTGGGGGTCGTCATCTTAAAAATGCTGTGTCAACCTGACTTTAGGTCTACCTTGTAACATGCAGCAACGTGGAGTGAAGGTGGGCCTTAAGCCCCGTGTCAAACAGCTACTGCTTGAAGTCATATCAGTCACACCTCTAATTATGCAAAACTTCCATAAAATCAAAACAGATCAGATCTCAAAGATTTGGAATGAGCTGTATCAGCTCAGCTTTGCAGCTACATTCACGTCATATTTGCTGGTTTCTGCAGATCCTGTACAGTCACCACCACACAGGCATGGAGGCCCATAAGTTACTGTATGACTGAGTGGCATTACTGTCGTAAAAGTCTATATTTTGTTTTTAGGAATAAGGGACTGACTCTTAGGTTTAAAGCTAGAAAAAAAGTCATCAATTAGTGTTTCTCACCAAGTGTATGTCTATTGTAAATGTATTTACCCAGTTTCCCTGTCTTCCTGCGTCTCCAGGTTCTCCCGGGAGACCTCTGTGACCCTGAAGAAGAATTTTAAACAAATGTTAGCACAAATGTCTCTTCAGTAGGTTCAGCTAAATCCTAATTGTGCATGAAAATTCACCTTTGGCCCCGGTGGTCCCTGAATGCCAGGCTGTCCGTTCATACATTTGCAAGATGCTCTTCCAGCTGTTAGGCCAATTTCTGCATACCCCCCACACTGAGATGAACAGGGAAATTAGAGAATTATTGAACACTAAAAACTTCCTCTAGAAAAAGGAGAGAAACCATGTTGAATGACGGCAGACTCACCACATTTGAAAGCTCACAGCAGCCCTCTGAATAAGCCTGCTCTGGGTCACATGACACCTCCATCTGCTGGAGGTCAACCTGGCACGAGATACAACATTGAATGAGAACTGAAAGTTGAAACGCAAATCAAAGGAAGTTGAAAGATTCAAGAAGATACATCGAAGTCCTGGATATTTAACTTACAGACAAAGAGCGGTCCCCTGCAGCCCGCTTCACGATGGAAGTGAATCCTCGCTGGATGACCGGCCTCGCCTCGTCGATGGACTCAACGCTGACCTCCTCACAGTCTATCAGCAGCTTCACCTGGCTGCCCTTCACGCTCAGCGCCAACTTGTGCCACTCTCCATCGAACAACTTCTTCACGCCATGAAAGGTCCTCAGCATCTGGCTACCGCGAGGGCTGCTGTAGAAGAAGTCCAAAGAGCGTGTGTCGCCTTGGAAACGCAGACCCACTTGCTCTCGTCCCTCAGGGTCACTGACCTGCCACAGGTCCCAGGATTTCTTAGCAGCGTCCTTGGTTATTTTAAATGTTGCGATGACAGAGTAATCAGAGGGGAGTCCATCTGGATACACGTCACTGTGGCACAAAGTGAGGTTTAGAAAGCCGGATCAAAGAAAGCCAATGATCTTTATAAAACAATTAGGGGCTCTGTGGGAACATACGGGTTTTATTTATTAAAGGAAGAGTAAAGGAAAAACAGCTACTCTAATCTTATGTCTAAATGTCACATTAGCATATGACACTATCCTTTAACTTTTTCATGAAACATGGTTTGATGATGCTCCAGCAGACAACCCATCTTTGTTTCTTTTGAACAAAGCACATTTTTAGTTAACTCAAAGACAATGCTGCTTCCAGCGCCAGAATATGAGAGTTCAAAGTTAAACAAGACAAAGAGTCTGCCGACGTGCTAGTAGCTCTGTGAGGATCCGGCAGTGTTTTGAGCTAAAAGCTAACATCTGCTTGTAAATATGCACACAATACAATGCTTATATGTTGATGTTTAGCAGTTGTACAATGTTAAAATCTTTTTTTTTTACTATGTGAGCATGCTAATGGAAATAGTGTAATACGTCCTAAGACAATTCAATTTGGAGAAAAAATGATGACAAGCTCTATTATTTACCCTCCAGGAAACCAGAGAGCTAGCATCAATCGGTGCACTTTTGAGAGAAACTTTTTTTTTTGCTTCTGTAAGTCTTATGTGTTCACATCTTTACGAAAAAGCTGAAGGTGTCCAACCCTTTCTGTATTTATAGATTTTATTCCAACATATTCAACAGTTTCATTAGGATATGACATTAAAGCACTTTCCTAACTAAATATATTGTTGAGTTGTGACTTTGTAAAAAAGAAGAGAAGTCAAACTCCCTCTTCTGGTTTTTTGTTGTTCTCAGCACTGTGTTCACACTGATGCGACAGAACCTCCTTTAGTATGTCAGTGCTCCACTTAGAAAGAAAACATGTATAGAACAAGTTTGAGCCTCTTGTGTGACGCCATCCCTCCGTTACGCCAATCATTAATCTTGTCACTTGTGGCAGAAGAGAGAGAGCCCCACCCACTCAGAGATACTCTGTGGGAGACATAATGGTGGAGTGTCGTCGCAAGGTTGCAATTTCAGAGGTACCAACTGAGGTATTGTTAGGTTTTGAATCCTATATATCAGAATGGAGATGAGTCCTACAAACGGCTTCACCCTGATGAACACTATACAGTACGAGGAGGGGAGATGGTGTGCTGAGGGACAGAGGAGGTCTGGCTAAAGTAAAGTTTTGTTTTGGTCTGAGAGACTGGTACTAAAGTATGACATCTACTGGATTGAAGGTAGCTTATTATACCTTTAATGGTAACTTTAAAAGAAAACTTGGCCTTTTGATTGGTACAGTCATGCATGTGTTAGGTTTCAATATGTTTGTCATATACTGTATGGAGCTCCTAAAGGGACACTGGCAGAAATGTAAAAAAAAAAATTCAGGTAACCGCAACTATCTGTTGCTCACCAGAAACGATCTTGTGAGCACGAGAAAGTTTCCCATGCGCACAGGAAAGTATCGTGTGTGCATGAGATAGTTTCTTGTGCTCATGAGAAAATATTGTCTGTGCACATTCTCCTAGAGCACCAGACATAGTTCTTGTGCTCTGGGAATAGTTTCTGGTGTGCATGAGAAACTTATTTCCTGCCCCATGGCCCCTTAGGGGATCCGTAACATTGCAACACCGATGTGATTCCCCTTTTCTATTTCACTGAAATAAAAACTTTATTATGAAGAAAACAACCACCAATTCACAGTCCCTGAAACAGTCAACATCATAGCACTACTGTTTGTGCAATGTGAACAACAAAACTAGAATCTATCTTTTTTGCATGTTAAGCATCAATTACAACATAGTAGTGTTTTTGCAGAGTTAGTACAGCAGGCCAAAAACTTAAGAAATTAATGCAGTTCTCATTTTTATGTTTATTTCTACGCAGAAAAATGCAGAAAAAAACTGGTTTGCAGACCTCAATGCATCGTGTTGTAGATGTGGTGATATCTAGGATATAGATGGTGTACAGGTGTAACAAAGCAGCCTGTGACATCATGATTGGCTGGACTGTTTCTACCTGGTATTAAGTTTCCCCCTTCAATGTGTGTGGTCAGAAGAGTACCTTATTGCACCTGCAATCACACCTAACAGTGATGTCATAATTAACTGAAACACTGCTGCCAGTTGAGAAATCTTGAGATTGGCCGAAATATAATTTTAAGGCTCTTTTAAGTTACTTTTTTAAGAAATCCTCAGTGAAATGAGAGGGCTCAGGTGTTATAGTACTATACCTCATGGTCTTGCGTAGATGGATTGAGGGGTTGACTCTGTAGGCCACCGCCTCGGGTTGAGAACCGTCCACTCTCCTCACTCCTTTCGATTCGGGCACATGAAACTCCTCCAGCAGATCAAAACCTCGCAGCACAAACACCGAGATTAGTCACGCGTCACACTAACACGGCATCAAAGGTGCTGAGCTGCTTGTAAATCTTACATCACTGCCGACTTATTTAAACGGCTACATCACTTGTTATTAATAATGCCATCTCTCAGGTACATGAGGTAATCTATTAAACTCATTACAGGCTGTTTACTTTCTTTCACTGTTGGATTTGGCTCCTGAAGTCTTAACACTGAGCGCTTTGTTCTGCACTTTGAGTGAGATCAGCGTGTCTGTGGTGTTTTTCCTGTTAGATTAGAAAATACTGAACAAATCTGATTATAAATGGTGAAAAGGAAGACACAAAAAAATCCCCATATATAACAAAAAAAATTAAGTACACACAACTTTGGCATGGCAACATTGGCTCTCATCCTATCTCTGCTGATAGACTGTTTCATTTCATGTTCAGTTAATTTATGACATCGGTTACTTAGAGACAAAGGCTCCTGTTCACAACTTAACCTAAGCATGACCTCTTTGACCTTTCAGTCTCCACCAAGTCACTGATGAGAGCGGGAAATACCAGACTGGGGTGACTGTAGGGAACAAGGCAAGAAAAACACTGCCATCTGCTGGTCATATTACAATAGTACAGTGTTGAATCTAAGAGTCTAAAATCCAAGCAGCCAATAATGATAGCATATAAAAAGTTGTTATTACTGATCTACCCTGATCATGTTTGTGTAGCTAAAAAGCACCTCAGTGAAATTATAAAAGTGTTTCACAAGGTTTCTGTCATAAAGGAAGCGTGTCCAACAAATCCAGCCTCACATAACTATCAGAAATGATTGTTTCTGTGATTCTTCATGAAGTGGAGAAACATCAGCTTTAGTCATTTAAAAATTGTTTAAAAAATGTAAACTTACTTGGTAATTTTTGACATTGGGTCAGCTCGAAAATGGTACAAAGTGCTGCAAACACCAACATGTCTTTGTAGGCTGGCATTTTCAATTTATTTTGGGGTCCGGGGCTATAAGTGCCTGTAGTACAGAAATAATGCCAATCAGTCATTTGTAAACTGCATTAACTGATATGAGTGTACAAGAGGATTTTAAATAAAAGTCAGTTAAACTTGTCAAAAACAGTAAAAACCAAAGAAATGTGATGTCAAATTTCTTGGCCTAACCTAACTTTATCAAGTATCAGATAAAAACAAGAGAACTCACAATTAAGTCAATTTTCATCACTAAATACCTTCATTTCAATACTTCACAATTTGTCTACTAAAACACATTATGTTGTAAGATTCTGCTTCTTAAAAACATTCATACAGAACTATTTTAACCATGAAAACACTCTGCAACGTTTTCCCTTCCTTATGAGAGGACACACACAGCTCATCAAACTTTATTATTCTCTGATCAGCAAACAAACATCATAGACTACCTCAAATTATCTAATATTCCACTTCCTTATGCAATTCACTTTAAAATGAAGATAATGAACAGAAAATGTTACTCACATATTCCTGTAACAGAAAGTCCCAGGGCTGCTGCTGACGGGTCTTTCCACGTTCCTGGTGTGAGGAGGTATCCCGCTCTAAAGTGCCATCCCTGGGTCGGTGTGTGAGCTGAACAGGACGACCATTCAGACTAAAGCTGTGGCTCTCAGAGGAGCCTGACCCCTGAGCTCCACTCCACCTTTGGTCCCCACAGGATCTGACTCCTCTCATAGGCCAGTTACACCCACAGTACAAGTCCAGTTAAGCCAGTCATCACATGGAGGAAGGTGAAGATGAGAGGTGATACATGCAGGTGAACGCTGTCGAAAGAAGAAAATCACAGGAACATAGAAGAAGAAGTAGATTCACTTGAAAGACTACTAAATGTAGCTCTGACAAAAGTTTTTATGTACCAGTATTTCACTCAGCTGACACTTTTAATCATCTCTTTGCAGATGTACTGGAACACCTTGGAAAGACTGTTGTGAGGAGGCAAAATGTAAATCTACAATGGCTTTTAGAAACAGTCACACTGATTTTTAGTGTGACTGTTTTATCATTCTCTCATCTGCAGAGTCTCACTGAGAGAAAGATGCAGTATGTCACAGCTAAACACAAGACGCTCTGCAAACATTCCTCCCAGAGCAGACCACACCTTCAGCACTAAACCACCTCAATACGACCCAAAACCAGACTACAGGGAAACCGTGGAAACAGACGGCAAAATGAAACACACAGATAGGATACAGTCATTCATTTATCATATACAGAGATTTTTTTTTTAAATAGAAGTCAGTGTTGTTATTCTTAAAGCCAATCACACATTTTTTGCTAATTTAGAAGAGCAAGTGATCTAATTGTCAAATTACCAAATAAACTGTCTTTAACTAGTATGAAGCATTGTGGTGTACATTCATTCCTGATAAATAAAGTACAATTAGGAGCAGTGACAATTCTGTTACTACTGTTATTTTCTTTCTCTCATATAGACACATAATTCCTCTGTTGACTTTCATTGGCAAACTTTGGTTTTCAATACAATAATGAATGCTAACGCTAAGCAGGGCAACGAGAGATTTTCCGGTCTACACTTTTTATTTTTTTGTACAGGTCTAATTTTAGCGGCGGTTCTTAACTGTTTATAGGTTTTAAATTGCACATAGTTTTTTTTATCCCTGCACAGGTTATGTACATTTCTTTGTATACGTCTATTTTTAATTGCACAGGTTTAATTTTAATTCATGTAGGGGCTTCCTTGAATCTTTGTTTCCGGTTAATATATACGTATGGGAGGGGGTCAGGGGGTCAGCGGTTGTTGTTTATTTGTAACAAATGTTTCATGTGGTGCATGTCTTTGTAAGCTGCTACTGGATGCTTTGAACTTCCCTCTGGATCAATAAAGTATCTATCTACTGTATTTAGAGTGAGTGCTATTATATGGGGCCATCTTAGGGAGGTTTCCTACTGTTATTGAGAAATTTGCACATTTCTGGCCACTGCTTATTATTAAAGTTTGTGAGCTCTCAGGGAACCCCTACTGGTCTGGGACCCCAAGCAGCATGTCTGATTAGGACCATTGGCCATGGGGAACTAAGCATGCTAACATGCTCACAATGCCAGTGTTAACAAACTAATGTTTAGCATATGCTAACTGTACTAACCTTCAGACAGTATGCTAACATTTACTTATTGGCACTTAACACAAAAATAAGCGAACGCTTATAGGATTGGTCTTGTGTGTTTGGTCTTTGAATACTTGTTCATTACCAATGACTTGACTAATGAAGTTGTCTGAATCTGAATCAAGAAATTAAACTTGATTGAACTTTATGAAATATTCAGGGTAAGTAGCATGCTGTAGCGTGTACATATTGTGTGCCAATTTATCAGGAAGAAATATTTGAGCTATTTCATTGGATGTTTAGACAATGACCTGATGGTGGCACGGTAAGATCAAAATAGGTCAAAATAGTCAAAGCAATCCACCAAAACAATATTCTATTATCAAAGCTCCTGTGAGGAGTTTTGAGCTGGTTATGAAACAGATAAGTATTAAAACTGATGCATCTTCATGAATAACTCAGGCACACAAGACCATCAGCAACAAGATGGATCATTTTTCTATTATGATTATGAACGTCTGAAACCACAGCAGCAGAGTAGGTGTTTTAAGTCTTTAACAACATGAAGCCGAAATGATACTTTCTACATTTTTCAAGACAAACAATCCTGATGAGTGATAGATCAGACTGTTAACAGAACACAGGAGGAGATTTTTCCTTAGAAAACCCTACATACACATGTACAGGAGAAGATCAGGGGAGACGAGAGGTGCTGCTCTGTCCACAGGGGGCGCCAAAATCAACACCAAAACCAATTGCAATAGTTCAGGAGGAAAAGTCAGGGGATGATCAAACTCAGTAGGATTCTTCCTCTAAGAACGCTGCTAGCATGGATAATAAATAAAAAAGCTAAAACAAGTGATGACACAGTGTGTGGTCTCCACCAGTTTCTGGTGGTTTGCTGCAAGCAGGTTTATTACAAAGTAATGTTACAGTAACAATTTCAGCTCTACCGAAATTAACCATACATTGACATGGATGCACAATAGAATGTCTACATGGAGTGGCACCTTTTAAAGGTCAATGAACACACTGCTGTGAAGTGGCCAAACAAAACAGGGACTTCAGCTGCTCACAAACAAACAGGACTTCAAAGCGTCATGGTTACGAGGTTGCTGCTACTTGCCTTAAATAGTGTTTTCAAAGGTTTCTGCAGTGCTTACTGGGGTTTATTGTAGTATATTGCATTGCCCTTTAAATGCGTGGTGGCAGTATATCATAGCACTTAAATAGATAATTGCAGTGTCTCAAATGGTACCATAATGCACCATCTACTCCCAAACATGAGCCAACATAAATTACAGTACATTCAGTAACTTTCAGAGCGCTATCCTGCGTGTTGCCCTTCATTAGTGTGTTTAGAAATGTTAGCTAACCGTGCGGTGTAGTCATCCCAAGATTTTCTAGTGTTCGTCAAACCTCTACGGGTTCATCATCAATAAAATAAAATACGATAAAAACAATTTGACATTTTTCACAGAAAATAAAATACATTAAAAACAAAGACAAAAGGCCATTGACGTTCCATTCTCACAAAATATTAAACCATATTTCCTCTCAACAGAATATTTTACATCTTCGCAACAATTTAAATAACACTCAACACAATTGCAGTCTTTAAGTTAGATATCTCCAGTGTCCATCACGTGTTTAGGGTGCAACTAGCTCCTGGGTTTTGTGTTTTTCAAGGCCACTGACTATCGCTTGGATCCCTTGGCCAGTTTGCTCGTGGGAGTGGTTTTTCTCTGAGGAGTGGGGATCTTGGAGGGTTTTCCTCCGCGTTGTCGCGACGCAGAACGCGGCGTCGCTCGGGCCGAGTCGCCGACTGTTTCGGACGCGTCTGAGCACACGGACTGGATGTCCGAGATGTCAAAGTCAGAGGCGTCGCTTCCTCTGCGACTGCTCCCTCTGCTTCCTGCTTTACTTCCAGGTCGGCTGGAGTTCTTTCTCGACTCTACAGAGAAAAAACAGAGAGAACAATTAAATGAACTTTAAACAGCGAATGACATTTGAGATGCAGTGCAGGAAGTTGGTTTTATTTTTAAATTGTGTTGCTAATAGCCTTTGTTAGCATAGCTCATGGTGTTACATCAAATTAATAATTCAATGCAGCCTTCCTCTACTGTCCATAAGTAATCTTTGGATGACCACTAATACATACTCATACTTTCAGCTATTTTTGGGCGCCCGTTTACATTTTTCCTCTTTATTATTATTTTTTCAACATCTGTTCTGATGCTATTATTCATAAAGCACCAACATCAGGCTAGCTGTGTGATTCTGTGTTTACTCACTTTAGTTAGGGAACTAATCTGACAGATATTTCATGTGAATGAGTAAGGTCTTTTAGCTGCTTTTTGTAAAGTGTCTTGAGATAACACTTGTTATGAGTTGACGCTATAAAGATTGATTGATGTGAATCGAGTTTCCTTTTCACCGTGCCAGTAAATCTTTCTTAAACCTTTTATTGGTTGTATTTTTGTTTTCTTATTTGTACAGGACTGTCCAAAGACTGTGTTTAGTGTGAAAATGAGGTTCAATACAGATATTTTTTTCAGGATTGGAAGTTCAACGTTTGAACAGTTAAGGGTTAGAAGATTGTGTATGTTGAACGGTGCTTTCAAAGTGTCTATTTTAAGATCATTTGTATTTCTGTTTTAGATGCAGTAAAGTGCTTTGTGAAAAGTATTTAGTCAGAAAAGGAAGATGATATATATATTTTTTGTTTTTGCTCGGGGTTTATGCTGATATGAACTAAGTCTTCAGTACAATCAGAAATCAATGATACATAGATAGATAGAAAGATTTAGACTCTTCCTTCTGAACACTAGTTAAATCACAGTGTACTCAGGAAGCTGAGTGAGACCAGCATGTTTCATGTTGATAGAGTTACACTGAACCTCACATCAGTCTGCTTTGTGCTGTATGAGTACACTTTGATAGTAATAAACCAATGTGCCATCACTTTCAGTTAGTAAACTGTTTTTACTGTTGCTTATATATTTCCAGTCAAAGCTACAAGGACCAACTCCTTCTTCAACAATAACCTGAAAGAGTGTCAAAACAAAAACTAGTTGAAATAAACTTTAGAATCACTCAGACGTATCGCTCTCTACTCACCACCTGCTCGAGCTTTCAGTACAGCGGCACTGATCAGCGTTCCCTCTTCGCCCGACTGAAATCCTTTACCTGACATGAACCCAGGTAGGCGTAATTTACTGCCTTGAACCGGCGTACCCTGCAAAAAAAAATAAAAAAATTGAATAACTCTAATTTGTAAAGAATTGTAGTTTAATGCTCAGTGCTTTATGAAACAATGTTTCAGACACTTAATGAAACTACAAATATTGACAATATGAGTGGAGTTAGTATGACATTTGACCTCTAAAATCCTTTAAATATCAAGAACTGCTGGAGCTCTCTGTAAAGCAGTTAGTATGAGAAGTATATGTTAAACATGAAGCTGTTGGTATTGAAATTATTGTCAACCTGTAGCTAATTAGTCAAGAAATAATCATACATGCATAGATTTTATAAACAGAAATTCACAATATGATTGCATTGAAAAGAGACAGATATTTTCAACAAGGCAAGAATTAATCATTCAGACCTTTAGGGATCAAAACAGTCAGAGCTTATAGACCCAACTGAAGTCTGTAACACCTTGAACCAGTTTGTGAGACTGATATCTTTCAGATCTGTCATGTTTTTGTTTTTGGAGGATCAAATTGTAAATCATACAGAGAGTCTCTGTTCAGACGAGTATGCTGTAGATTTCAGTTGGGTCGTAATAATGAAGCGTTCCACACATCATGTTCTGTATATGACGATACCTCTGAGGATGAACCCTGGCTCCCAAAGGAGTCTGATGATTTAAGAGGAGTGGAGGGTTTGCTGTTTGTAAGCCAGGGCTTATCATAATTGCGGGTAATGTGTTGGGGAGTCTGAGGAACAATGGCAAATAAAATCAAAAACACAGACATGGATTCAAAAAAATCAAAATAAATATGAGAAACTCAAGATGTAGGAAGCAACAAAATAAAACATGATCAAATGATGGAAAACAAAGAATGCTGAAACATGAGGGAAATCATGGTGGGGAATGATCAATGTGCAGAGTGAGGGGGAATGGGCAGCAGAGCGGCTCCTCTTACCTTGACGCTAGCGATCGCTGCTTGGTGTGCGGGGACGGGGCAGCTCTGACTTGACATGGATCTGGTGGGAGACGCTCCTCTGGACGACGGGCGAGATCTGCGGCCTCGGTAGCGGAAGCTCGCCATCACCTGAGTGGTGCCTTCTGGGAGGATGAACTTCTCTCGCAGCTCCATGTTGGTCCTGCCTTTAGCTGAGGAAACCACACTTCAAATGAGCTTCATGATAGAAACACAACTGTGATGACTTTCAGCAGGTTGTTTGTGGTGATGAGGAAAAATGAGTCCACACTTTATTTTACACTCTGAGTCTCTGAATTCCTAATAATTTCATAGAAAGTTTCCTGGAATAACTATGTCATTTAGGATTGATTATGCTGGAATATAAAGATTCATTGAGACTAAAGCAAATAGTGTTGTAGTACTCGAAATAGAGACCACTTTTTGAAGCTGTCGGTCTTGAATTGAAAACATTTCTACTCGGTTTCAGACTAATTGGACTCCTGTTTTTAAAAAATGACCGGTTAAGACCACCACTGATCGGCTATTTTTCCATGTCATTACTTTCTAAAAAGAACAAGTAACTTCAATTCATTCATAATTTGATTTTTATCCCCCCGGTTACGGCCGCAACCTTTCCGGTATCACGGTTTAAATTAATGACACGCCCGCTGCACACAAGATGGAGACTTTTCACTGATATTTATGGTCTTGGTCTCGGTCTGGCCCTGCCTTGGTCCTGGTCTTGGTCTCAGAGCACTCTGGTCTCGGTTAGTGTGGTCTTGACTACAACACTAATGGCAAACATTTCTTTATTATTCATTAGTGTGAGAAACTTCTTTAATGAAACATGTTGAATACGTGCTTCAATATTAATACAGTTTTAATTTGGCGTCAAAAAGTCAGATTTCTAATCAAGAATTATAATTATTAATTAGGTTTACTTATAAAAAGCTGAACATAAATATTTTTACTTCCAAGAAATTATTAGTCATATACGGACCTGTGAAATAAAGTGTTACCAGGATGTGACAGCCTTATTTAACATAAAGTAAATGCTTTCAAACAAAATATGAGATGTCAGTTTCACATGTTGTCCAAAAGAAACCAAACTTCTGCTGCAGACGTTGAGAAAGAAACTTGACGTTTCTCCAACAAGCAACAAGTTTGCTCGGACTGCTAAACAAACGGTGAAAAGATTCAAACAAATCAAAGTGCACCATTACACCCACCGAACCAAAACACAGCCCAAATGAAAAGAATGACAAAAACCAAGGAAACATAAACTTCCCATGTAAACCAAAAACAAACTGGCACCAGGTGTGTTAGGAACAAACTTGCTGACATGCAGTTTTCATCACAAGCCTGACTGTCAATCAAAAGTATGATTTGTTTTTTTTCCTGCTCTGTTAAAGAGCGACTTCATCGTTAACTCAGATGATGATGTTATAATTTTATCATTCTAGGTTAATGACAGTTAAAAGTCCCTTTAAACCTTCATGGGCTTTTTAAAATGTTTGTTTGATTGTCAAGCAAACCTGCAAAACTGCAAAAGAAGCTCGACTCAGAGCCGCCGCTCGTTTCATGCTGAGAGAGAAAAAAGAGCTAACGAGGCGCGTCAAATCCTAACAACAAAAAAGACTCAGAGAAAGTGTCAGCAGGTAGTGTGACTCACACACAAACAACCGCATGCATGAACACCAACTGTGACTGAATGACGGACGACTGTGAGTGGAGCTGGTTTTAATGTGGATGATGATCGTCACACACCGCTACAGTAGTACACACCAGCACCAACACAAGCAGTACACACGCTCGGCTGTGCAGACACACATACCACTGTGGGTGGGTTCATGGAGCATGGTGAGATATTGTGAGATTTGCCAACCTATAGGAGACTGAGTAATTGAAGAGTTTGATTCCGAGCGCAACATTTTGCTCCCGTGGTGATGAACTAGAAGGAACGATATCATGTCGAGCAGGAGGAAGGATTGGCAGGAAGAAACAGAAATCAAAGATTATTACAGACGACAGCAGAAACAAGAAGAGAGCATAGAGATTTCAAGACTGCATGTGGGCACAGATATAGAAAGCTTTCATCAAGTAGGAGCACATCTGAGAGCTGTACGTGTACCTCTGAATCTTCTCAGACAAATCTGCTGACATAAACAACATTTGTAAAGATATTTTCCTTCACTTTCTTTTATAAGTATCAGATATTTATTTTGGAGCTCTGTGTTGTGTTAAGTAAGAACAGACCTCATGAAGAAGAATTAAACCTCCAAAATAAAAGCACCATGTTCTAACAAGAAGAGAAACAGGAAGAGTGTCTCAGTAGTTTTTGTCCTCTTACATTCAAACTGAGGATTAGACTCTTAATCTCTCTAAAGCCTTCGATGGATCTGGAGCCAAGAAAACACTTAATTCTGTCACAGTTTGTTACTTTAAATAAACATGTGAAGTTATCAAACCCTATAAAAGATGACTATTTCAATGAATAGAATACTTCTAAGAGTGATGTGGATTGAGACATGGATTAGCCAGCTTTCTTTTTCTCTGTAAGAACAACAACACAGTCTAAGAGAAAACAAAAGAATACAGAGGACTAGGTGTGTTTAACCAGCCGTGCTTTGGGGGCGCTCCTGTGGTGAACTCTTGAACTCACCTCGGCAGGGATCGTTCTTTACCAAGAACTCATCCAGAGCCATCCAGCCTCCTCCCACCCGCACCATCACAGTGCTGCGCAAGATCCGTACCAGCCGGAGCTGCTGAGAGTCTCCAAACTACAGCGGAGAAGGGGGGAGGAAGGGGGGGGAAGGAAAACAAAGAGGGGACGTGTGAAAACACTGACCTGAGTGTGAGCACTCAGTCACTGCAGGCTACAGGCTGTGCAACACTGGAAACCAGACTGCTGTGCACAATCTGACTTATTCCACGTTTATTCTTGATTTTATTTTGGAAAGTGACAAATTCAGTTTAAATATAAAGTGCAAAAATTTCAAATTAAAACAGCCATTAAAAGATCATTTGTGCCGATTCAGGACTGATTTGGTTTCCATGTTGCACAGATTTTCATACAAACAGATTAAAGCAGAAAAACATTCTCATTCTCAAAGACACAAATTACACCAAAGATCAATCCAACTGGATTTCTTCTATAAATATGTGTCCACATATGTGATCCAAATGTTAATGTGAATGTGAATCCAAAATAAATGTACTCCTCCAGTGTAACTTTTCACAATAGAGTATCCTTTTGATACTAAACTTTATGTTTTTTATCTCATATTTATAAGCCTTCATGTAGAGCCTGGCATAATTGTCGATGGGTTATTGTAAACATTGTGTATTGATATCTGTACATATGGTTGATTATTTAAAAATCTTAATCATGTTAAAAAATGTCAGAAACCCAACTTCACGTAACTTAAAAATCATTTGTCATATTTTTGTGACAAATGACAGATACTTAAGAATCACATAGTTTAATAAGTTTACCTCTAAAATATCAGAATCAGTGTGAAAGCTTCAGTTTCATTCAGGCTCTATGTTGGTATCTGTTTCAACTTTATCTGTAAAAAACTGCCCCATCTGTTTAAACCACATATTACAGCTTCACACACTTGACTTAAAAAAGCCCTTTTATGACAGTTTAAAAATAATTTCATCTAATTTGTGGTTTTCAGGCCATAATGTCTGATTTAATTTGGCAGTGTCATGCTTCAGCTATTGTGTAATTAGCCTGTAAGAAAAACCACATAAACTGAAGGCACATTGTCACACCACTAGGAGGCACTAGAGTATAATAATAATTTGCCTTCATCTCAGCAGCCACACACACCAAACGCTGAGCATGTCATGGGTGTGAATGGCTGGAGGATTATGAAGTGACAGTTGTTAGAAGTCGGCCAGTTGGATGCGACCGCGAGCATTAGCACAAAAGCACACGAGACAATCACAGCCGCATGCTTTCCATCAAAACAACAACAACAATGAAAAAAAAAAAGCAATTTCACATCATGATCAGGCGGACAAAAAGCAATCTCCTGAACTTTGTTGCACTTCTCTACAGCTATGACTCAGGATGCGTTCACACTGATGCAGACCCAATGCAGATAGCTCCAATGACACACTGAGAACAACATGAGGAATGGTTCTGATCGGTTCTGTCTAATCCACCACGGTGCGACACGCAGACATGACCAAACACTGATGACCCTCAGCTAAGTGCCTACTATCTCATGATATCTCTTCAGCTGGTGATATAATCCCTCACTTATATGATTATCAGAATGATTTGAATGCCGCTGGTGAATTTTAGTGATCAAATACATTAAAGGTGATGATGATCTGAAGGAAAAAAGAGGCACAAGACACATCTTAAGAATAACCATTTACCAGAATACAGCTTTCCAAAACGGCAACGTGTAGGTTGGGGGCATGATTTTGATTTTCCCTGTTTGCTATTGTCTCATCGCCGATTAAGGAGTCATGTAAGCAGTGAACCAGACCAAACTGTCAAAAGATATTATTTCAATTCAATGTTGTGTGAAACATAAATACAATCTCCTTCAATCTAAAACCTCTTTCTAACACCGCCCATTATTAATCTTACGGCAACAAGAAAGCATGTGGCATACATGAACCCATGAATTTTTAAATTGCAACATGCAATTTCTTCAAGACATGTTCAGTTAGAATTAAAAAAAAGCAAAGTATTCATTGACATCATTGAGGTTAAGATAAATTGCTAAACAGAGTCAGTGTCAGCCAATGATAAAGTAAGTCATTCCCATGAGACTGAAGTGCCAAAGGCAAGCACACAGAAAGCGTTTTTTTTGTTTTAAAACAGCCCAGCAGATGAACTTATGTCTGTGGACCAATAAAAAAAACATGGGCTGAAATGGTTTTGGCACTTTTATACTGCATTTCTGAAACTCAAAAGCAGATAAATAAACATTTGCTACGCTAACGATCACCTGGATCTTTACAACTTTTGATCTTTGGCATCAGAATAATCTTAAAATAGGCATGAATCGTAAAACTTGAAAACACAAGACGGCTGATTCTTCGTTTGTCTCTTTAGAAAAAGTTATGTTTTGACTTCATCTTGGACTTAGAGGTAATCTTAGTCCAGTGTTCCTTACGGAGTCAATCAGACAGCCTTATATCTTTATTTCTACTTCTGAGTTTCAGTCTTTCAACATCAGCCAGGAATCTGGGCAGAGAGTGTTACTTGGAAAGCAAACATGGTAAATGAGCAGCACACAAAGTTTGAGAGCAGAAGAAGACTAAAAACAGGAGAAGACTTGGATATGTACCTGGTTTCCAAGGTAGAACTGGTGATGTGAGGAAACAATAAAATATAGAATTATTAGACATTTCTTTTAAGTATCTTTGACATTTATTGCAGCAAATTCAACACCTACCTTCCACAGCTTTTTAAAATCATGGCATTGCTTAGAGATGTTCAATTATCAAAGTATCCTTACCCGGTATTTGTTGGCACCAATTTGCTCCACTTGGAATCGTTTTGGACATTTGCATTTTGCTACTTGACGTGTAACCTAAAACCAGAAAAAAATCATTTTTATTGAATCTCAATTCTCGTGCAATGTCTCTGGATTTAGAAATGCCGGGCATGAGAGTTTGCATCACCTCATCTTCAATTTTGTCGGCGTCTGTTAGAGGTTTGTAGGCGTCCTTGTTGGGATGAAGGGCTGCCACGAACTCGTAGTAGTCGATGTAGCCGTCGCCGTCTCTGTCGAATATGTCTGCCACAGCGCTCATCTCCAGACGACTGGTGGGGAATTCTGTTGAAGAGCCATGAAGTGTTAAAAACAAGCTTTTCTCTGGCCGTACATTGTAACCTTGTTTGGATCATACTCACTGGAGGAGAGAATGCCCTCTATGAACTCCTGTCGCGTCACTTTGCCATCTTGATCTTTATCGATGCGACGGAAGAAGTCCATGACGCGGGACTTTTTATGGTTCATCCAGCGCATGTAGCGCTTCCGCCACACATCAAAGTCAAAGTTGGCAAATTCCTTCAACTGAAAACAAAAAGAAAATAGATGTGAGCAACCAAAAACTGCAAAAAAACATCAGAAAAAAAGCCAGTGCAGCTTGATTACCTCCTCCAGTCTGTCCAAAGCATCGTTGAGTTTCCTCCTGCGATCCAAAGCGAGCAGCCACACGTGCTGCCACTTAGTGACCAGCAGGTTCACTCTGGGGTTTTTGGTCTCAATGGGAGGTTGTGTTGCTGACGCATACATTGTTTGTGTCGGAGAACGTTTTCCTGTTCGTGAAAGACATAAAAGGATTAACAGTGACATCATCCCAGGTGTTAAAACTGACACGATGAGGATGTGGTGTCACCCTGCAGTGACACAGCACTGGGCCAGATGGCTCAGGTTCACGCTCTGTGCGAGCTGTATTTATGTGGTACATACTTCCAGGTCTTCCTTTGCCGAGCACGGGGATGTGAGACTGGATCTGGGGCTCGGGGGCAGCCTTCCTTTTGTGTGTCTTTGTGATTGTGTCAACATCTGGTTGCTTCCTGGTCATTTCCTCCATGAAAGCCTGCAAGGACAACCAAAAAGTGTGCGTCTACTTCATGCTGTATGTGCACTTTCTTGCAAGTCAACTTCAGGAAGCAGAACAGCTTCACAGTTATCCGATTTTCGCTATACCTGGTGATCTGCTATGAGGCTTTTGACCTCCTCGAGCTCCTGCGGCAGCACCTCTTTGTCCTTGTTGTTGAGGTTGGTCTCGGCCCACTGCAGCCAGGTCAGCAGATTCTCCAGCAGGTCCTGAGTGGTTAACAGCTCAGTGAGAGCCGTGGCCAGTCGCTGCTGGTGCTGCCTGGCCCAAGCCTGCACCTGGAACATTAACGTTGCACAGAATAACAATCATTTTTCTGACACTGCCCAGAGTGGTGATTTGTGCAGAAAGGCTTCTTCTATTGAAGCCAGAAGCATCCAACTTTTAAACCATCGGGTATGACAGAGCAGCCTGGCATGTGTGCAGGGATGCAAGCTGTGCACTGACCTCTTCAAACCGGGCCTTAATGATGGTGTTCCAGTGTTTGATGGTTGTGATAGAGTCTGGATGGCAGATGGTCAGAATAGCCTCCCCCATACTGGTCGCTTTATTTAGAGCCACTCGCTTTTCTTCCAGTTTCTTCATGAACTCCTGAAAAATAGCAAATGGAAAAGAGTTACAAGTGGAAAATCTCATGTATAATGTGTAAATTGACCGGGTTTCCCTGGGCAGAAAGAGAAACGTTAAGACACAATCCGGCTAAATAGAGGTAAAATAAAAAGAATAAAGAATAATATCTCAGCAAATAATAATAAAACATTTTAAATGTTGGAGTGAGTGTATATGTCAAAAACATGCCAGCCGGTTTCACTGATTTGTTAAAACAACAACCACGGTCAAAAAACTAAATTTAACTTCTTGAAGCTTCTGTGAGGAACTTTTGAATTCTTGTTTATTTTGGCACCTCGACAAACAAAGCCTTACAGTAGAGTTCTTCTTCTTGTGTAGCGCTTTTCTAGTTGTCTGACTACTCAAAGCGCTTTTGCACCGTATGCCAAACCTACACATTCACGCACTGATGGCAAAGGCTGCTATGTCTAAGTGACCATCTCATAGTCCACTGCACAGCTCCTACATTGCACCTTTTGTACACTTTGTCTTTTTTATATTTTATATTTTACATTTTTTAATTCTATTTTATATATTGTAATAGCTTCTTATACTGTATTATTTAAGTTGTTGCCAGTTCTGAGTTATTTCCTTGTTAATTGTTTAGCACTAATACACCAAGTCAAATTCCTTGTATGTGTAAATGTACTTAAATAATAATCTGCAATAAAACCCAATTCTGATTCTGAAGTAACTAATGCCATCGAGAGGCATCAACAACACAGTAAATTCAATGTGTCATAAACAGTTAAAAATTCCTCTCATAGGGTGCCCTCTCCACCATCAGAGTCGAGCCAGTGCCTCTCAGTTTATTTAAGCTTGTTTATTATAGGCAAGCTGAAACGGACTGTAGATTCTAAATATTTGAATGTCTTGCCTTGTGTTGTTCGATGAGTGCCTGCAGAGCCTCCTCATCGTCAGGCAGGCTGCCATGGAAACGCAGACTCTGCTCTGCCTCAGCCAGCCACTCCAGCAGGATGTGAACAGTAGAGTGAAACTCCTCAGCCTACAATAACAGGACACACACATCAGTCAGGCTCACAGAGTAAGAGCACCTTCTCTCTAACCCGTGTTAAGGCCTCCTCTGCAGTACCTGACACAGAGCCTGCTCCAGCCGGGCCTGTTTGGACACAGAGAGGTTGCACACCGTCTCCCAGCGAGTGCTCAGCTCCTGCATCTGGACTTTGACCCAGGACGAGTCATCGCTGGTGTTCTCTATCAGCTCCCTCGCCGATCGTTTGAGGGCCTGAACGCCTACCGTCCGCTTCCCCAACTCCTTCTGGAAAACCTGCAACGATCAATCAACAAGGGACACAATAATTATCCCGATCCTTAAAAAAGCTTTATGGTCAATCAAGGACGGATAAATATTTATTATAACTGTCTGAAACATTATGTTTTCCATCCATTATTCAGAGCATAGCTTTTATGCTCAGCCGAGGGGGTTTGGTTTGGATAGATCGCTGCTTTGTGATATATGAGAGTGTTATTGCTAGTTAGAAAAAAAATCCTTTTCCTGTAACGCTGCTGTTTTTTTCAGTGTTGATTATCAAAAAAAAGACTTTTAAAAGAACAATACCATTAGAAAACCATGCACTCTTCTCATATCTGTACTTGACAAAAATCAGTAGAAAGATTAGAGATAAAAGAGGTAAATTTACAAAAATGATAAAGAGCTGTGTACTTCATGTTTCTTTTTTGGGTATTTATAACGAATAAGTCCAATGGAAAATTTAATTTATTGATGATACAAATTAATCCAACTTTAAAAAACGTACTGGATTGTGGAATCGAATTACCCTCTGGGATAAATAAAAGTTGTCTGAGTCTAAAAAAGTCCAGCTGTTGATGCAACAAGAAACAAGTTCTGCTCTGTTGCTGATGAAGTTGCAGTTATTGATCAAAACATTAGACATGAGCAAATACAACAGCAGCTTTCCAGCAAACTTCAAAGAACACAGACTCTCAATGGAAAAGTACTACAATACAATGCTTTCCCCTTCAGTGACGTTCCAAAGTCCTTTGTTTTCTATTGTGATGAGAAACAATCAGTGAAAAAAAGCAAAGGCTGGTGTAAAGTGAAAAGTACTGTGCTCGTGTTTGAGTTTCGATGCTGCGTCCTTTTCTTAAACCAGTGTGTAAACTAGCAGCTCTACAGAGATATTTTTAGAGCTTTGGTCATGCTTGTCTTGTGGGTCTTGTGGGTCTTTTGTTACCTTGTGGTTGTCAATCAGGTTGAGAACCAGGTCTATGTCTCCATGTACGGGCTGGTCCTCAGCCATCTGAGGTTCCACTCTGTACAGCCAGTCAATGAGAGCCTGGAGAGCGTCTGTGAACTGGCCCGAGAACAACAAGGCCTCCTCTAGTTTGTTTTGCCTGCAGGAGAGCAAAATGTATTTACAATCGATGAAGAGGACTTCTCATGTACTGGGAAAAAATATCACACAGTTGAGTAATGAGTGCTGGACACAAAATATATCCAAAGACAGAAGGAAGACGAAGTACGCACAATAAAAAGTTGCTAACATTTCTTGTAAATAATCACCACATGTGACATTTTTATGCCCCCTCGTCCTATCACTACTTTTATATTACAGAGCTGCCTCTAATACTATATTTTTTCTCCTTGTATTACATGTCATTATGACGGGTTTTTCTGATGTTCACGTCACGTTATTCATGTTATTTAGTTTCAGGTAATGCTCCAGGCACTGCAGGCTTTTACTTGCTGGAGTTGTGTATATATTTTTGGAATATTTGTTTTGTACTATGACGCTCCTATAGTTAGTCTTCTGTGCATACTGTAGGTCTTGTGGTCCTTTACTATGACTGTCTTGTATTTCTAATATTTATTTCTAATGTATATCGTTCCTTGCTTTGGACCGCACGACCCCCTGAGGTCACCTGACTTGTGGAAGTGTTTCTCCTCACTTGTTCATGAAAAAATAAATGAAGAAAACAACAAATAAGTGTCCCACTGTAAACTTATGCATAATCCTTTTGCAACATCTAACACATTTGTATACAAACTATACCGCTCTTTCTCTAAATACTTATTCCACTTATATATGAATGTATCTTATTTAACCATCTTATGCATTTCCATTTAATTTCCTTTTTGTTATGGACCAAATCACATATGAAAAAAACATAAGCATGAACCGTATTGACAATAAACCCTGATTAAGATTCTGTGCCTGATGCTAAGCTATGCTAGGAGATGTATCTTTACCTTTCTACTGACTTCCCACAAACAGTGTCCCACTTGTCCCTCAGCTCGCTCAGCATGTCGTCCAGCTTCTGATTATCATCCTGGAGGGACGTCTTGTCCTTCAGGGCCCGCCCTGTGCGAGAGGTGGTGTCGTACACGGAGTGTTTGCTGCCCAGGGCCCGTTGGAACTCCTGTGTATAAGAAACAATCGTCAGATAAAGTATCAGCTAAGCAATAAAGTCATTTTACTGTCTCTGTCTTTAGATTCGGGGGGGTTACATCAGTGCAGAATGTCTCCCTGTTACTGTTGGCATGTCACACAGCATCTTAATTCTTAATCTGTGTGTTATGCGATTAAGGACACACTATTCTGTAAAGGAAACAAAAAAGGGGTCAAAACTTAAAAGCCACTGCTACCAAGGGATTAAAAGTATCCAAAAGCAAGGTCATCCTCTAATACACTTGGTCCATCCCGGGATTATGATAGGATTAGTACAACATTCCTGCATAACACTGCACAGACAACATGAGGAGTGGGTAGTCCGATACGCAAGCAAATGCACGACTAATGCATTCTGCAGACACAGCCATTCCCATAAATAGCTTTCACTAAACATATTACACATTAAGCATGGAGCGTGTAAGAGCTGCCTCATAACTCAGACTTGGATTGAACGCAGGCGTCGTTTCTGTTTAATGACTGAAACTGTGCGGTAGATGCTGTCAGAGGTATCTGGTTATTTTAAGGGGTCATTCTTTTTCCCGCAGTAAATCAAGATAAGACGATGATCAGACACCTTGTGTTGCGTCAGCTGAGTCTTGATTTTGTCCGGATCGTTGGCAATTTCCACTTCCGAGTCCAGCGTCTTCTCGGATTCGTCCAGCCACTCCATCAGTTTGTTCCAAGTCTCGTGGAACTAATGAAGAATGAAGAAACAAACAATTGCGGAAAGCGTTTTGAAAAGGTATGATTTCATTTGATTTATTGCAGAGGCCTGTAAAATGTTTCGACGTTCAGGTTTCCAGAGCCAAGGGAACAGAAGACGGCCCGCACTAATGAAAAAGCTATAACAGGCTGAAGACTACAAAATGGGCATGACATCAAATGGAC